CGACTTGGGATACTACTAGAGAGGAGTTTCCTAAGTTGTAACTGTAGTTTGCGACATGTCGCAGATGGACTACTTTACACTTTGAAGTGTTAAAGGTAAGTCCATTATCGTCTGCCCAACTTTGAAGTCGAGTCAGATCCTCTTGAAGTGCCTGTATATCGTCTTGGTTGCGTATCTCTCTCCAAAGTTTCACGTCGTCGGCAAAAAGTAATAAGTCTGACGTTACCTGTTGAGGAAGATCATTTATGTAGATCAAGAAGAGAAGAGGCCCTAGTACTGAGCCCTGGGGGACCCCACTAGGACATTCCATAGCTTGAGATAAAGTGAAATTAACCCTAACCTTAAAGTGTCGATTTTTTAGGTATGAAGTAAGCCAGTCGATTAGAGGTGGTTTGATACCTAGTCGTTTGAGCTTGTTGATAAGACACAAGTGGTTAACCTTATCAAAAGCTTTTGAGAAATCAAGGTAAATGACATCAACCTTTCCCTTGCGATCGAGGATGCTTGTCCATCTGTCCACCGCAGTCAGCAGGTTGGTTATACAAGAGTAACCCTTCCTGAAACCATGCTGTTGGGGTGAGAAGAAATTTAAGGACAGTAGGTAGTCATTTAGACCGTCGCATATCAGGGACTCCATGAGTTTTGAAGGTAACGACAGAAGAGCTACCGGCCGGTAACTTGAAGGTTCATTGCGTCGACCACCTTTGAAAATTGGTGTGATGTGAGCCAACTTCCAATTTTCCGGTAGTTTGCCTCGGCTAAGCGAGTGTGAAAACATCACGCTAAGCGGCGTTGCCAGGATTGAGGCTGCCTCCCTCAGTATGGCAGGATGAACCATATCCGGGCCAGGAGAAGTGTCAAGTCTTAAGTGCTGCAGTTTCCGGAACACCAAGTCAGCGCTTAGGTCCACTTCAGAAAGTCCTGTGGAATTGCAGATGAAACTGTCGTCGATAAAGTTGATATCAGCCGGTTGAAATGTTTGAGAGTGATGGGCCGCCAGAAGGTTGGCGGCGTCGCCATCGTTGTTGGTCGGGCCGTTAGGTCCTAGCAGTTGAGAAACTCCTGTTTTGGCTTGACGAAGAGAGGCTGCATAACGGAATAGGCTTCTAGGGTTAGAGGCGAATTTGTCCATAAGCTTTGTTTGGTACTGAAGCCTGTCTTCTCTTATAGCCTTCGTGCATGTGTTCCTGATATGTTTGTATTGCCTATACGCTCCATCGTTATTAGTTCGTTTGTATTCCGCCCAACAGTGCCGTTTGCGGCTTAGGAGGCGAAGGGTACGGTTCTTGATTACTGTAGGTGGCTTGAAGCTTTTGGGAACCGTTTGAGGAACTGAATGGTCTGTAGCACGTAAGAGCGTGTGCAGCAAGAAGTCCCAATGACCATCCACATCGATTTGAGGGTGAACATCCCAAGCCACCTGTTGTAGATGGTCATGTAGAGCTCGCACATTCAGCCGTTTAAAATTCCATCGCAAATTATTGTTGGGATACCTTAGCTTAGTTTTGATGACAAAACTGAAGGCTATGACGGCATGATCGCTTTTTCCCAGAGGAGCCAGGATTGAGAGGTTGTCGACTAGGAATTCTTCGTTAGTGAATACACAGTCTAAGCGCGATGGTGTCTGACTGTTTCTCCAACGAGTTGCCGACCTCACATTTTCATATAAGCCCAAGTTATCGATGAGGTTGAAGAACCGAGCTTCAGTTGAGTTGTCGCCTCCAGTGTACGTGTGTTCCGCGAAGTTGACTCTAGGGAGATTAAAGTCCCCTAGAATCAGGATGTGTGTGAAACCGAGACGGATAGAGCGGGATAGTCCTTCCAGCATACGACTATCGTACTCGGTGTCGGCAGTTGGCTTCCTGTAAATGACTCCGACTAGACACCTGGAAGTACTAGACAACCTTACAGAGCACCATATGGATTCCTCAAGATTGTTAAACTCGAGGTTGTGAACCTGGTGCACCTCCAAGCAAGAGCTAATGTATATGGCTACTCCGCCCCCAATTCCTATTTTTCTGTCGTTGCGGAACAAAGTCATCCCAGGCAATGCTAACTCTTGATCCGAGAACTGAGAAGATATCCAGGTTTCAGATATTCCTATCAGATGGGCCTTGCTAGCGTTGCTAAGTTCACGTAGTTCATCCAGTTTGTTTGGTAAACTCGCGGCGTTCGTATATAAGCAGTTTATGCTTTCAATTTGGAACGCATGAGCTTCGTCCTGTTTTTCTGTATGAACCTTATGTGAATGGACAGGTAGCCCACCTATATGAGGTTTGCCGAGGTGGTAGGCCCTGTCCTTTACACGTTTTTTTTATCGTTTAGACAGTCCACAAGTGGAATGGTCAGCTCCAGCTTGCCTTTGTTCTTGGTCCTGACTTCGTATGGCCTATCCGGGTGCATGTGGATTCCAGGTGGCAATCGACGTCTATTAGCACGAAATGCTTCCAGAACTGCAGCCGCCATGTGGGAAGATGGGAAGGTTATCTTCATTAGACGGGGTCTAAGATCACCGTCCTTCTTGGCTAGTCTCGTCACATGCTGAGTCAGTATGTGTTTGAGCCTCAAGGACTGTTTGATGAATTTCCATTCCCTGATGTCAGAATTTGATTGAGTAGGGTCTGCATTTTCCGGTATACCTTGGACAATTATGTTTCTTCCGCGGAAGAACTTCTCGCGAGATTCTTTAGGGACGTTTCGTATGATATTGCGCTCAGAGTACGGTATGTCGGGCAATATTCTTACGTTACCATCTGATTTCAGTAAGTGACTTGCTAGCAAGACGTCCTCTACGTCGGTAGCATTCTTAAGTGTTACTCGGAGAAGCCTCGGGTGATTTAGATGCTTAGAATCCTTTCCTCGAGTGAGCCGGGTGACCGTCAAAGGCTCTATTCTAAGAAGTTCGAGCTTTTTGTTCAATTCACCCCACAGCATCCTGTCGTTTTTATCCTGCAGACTGAGAGGAAGGTCAGGATTGTCGACGAGGTTCATGATAATGAGAGAATCGTCACGAACTGTTGTTAATTTACCAGGTTTCACGATGGGTTCAGGTTTAATAACTTGTGTGTATGGGTCATCTGAGAAAATATAGATTTATCCTATCATACTTTATGGAAATCCTTTAGCGCATTATCTAATTCAATCCAGCTTCCGAATCTCTTGTTCAGCATAATACGTTGGAACGCGTCGCTTACGTTCACTGAAATTTCACTTGAGCATGAAGCACTAGAGACAACATACGATAGTTATTAAAAAAAAGTTATTCCTTGAAAAAAATTAACTGAAGGAAGAACAACAAATATTTAGGACTTACCCTTCAGTTGACATTTCGTCTTAACTCACAAAAACTAGGCGCATCTATAACCTTTTACGTTATTTTATCTTTCTTACGTTGTTTTCTGGACCTTATCAACAAATTATATACAGCTGTTGACTTTCACTACAGCACTTAGGACCACAGATCAAGTTTCGAAGGAACAACAGAGCTAAAGTGTGCACTACAAAACAGAAAATACTCAGTTAATGCTCTTAGCAGTTATTTAGTGTTTATTATGCATCAAAAGATGACTTATATATGGAAACATTTAATACTCATAGGACCCAACACACACACGGCAATTGAAATACGGAATGCCCGCTTCCAGTCAGCGCGTTCAAGGTCGTTGAAACGAAACGGCGGACAGATTTGAAAGGGATTACCGTTTATACCTTGCCTAGAGTTGATCTAATGGCATGGCTCGACTATGCAGGAGTGGTCCCTGCTGAATATTCGCTAATATCTATTAATCATATTAAATATATAGTTCTTTCTCTAGCCTAACCTTGTTCTAAATCATGTATTGGTAGTTGTTACTATACAGTGAGTTGGTTTAGACGATGATGTGACTTCCACGTAAGATCTTATAGATTAGGCAGTTATATCATGACAAATCTACAATTTTAGAATTAGGTCTATTATTAGAGCAGTAATAATATCATAGTAGACCATAGTTCTACAAACCTCAGTTAGTTGTTTCGGTCACTGCGTGTTTGTATAGCCATTCTTAAGATATCGTGAGGTTCAAAATAATCACTGATGAACGTAATAAGCGTGAAATACCCGTCAAAATCGCGCAATAGTACCATCAGTACCCTGATAAATTACCGACATGAATCTACCACGCTGTCCCTGAAAGTCACTTCGCTATTAGCAGAACGAGTCTTCGATTTTAGCGGACCAGAATGGCTTAAGTTGGAAAGAGGGAGGCGAAAGAGTCTAAATCTCTAACAGTTATGTTGTCTGTTTTGTCATGATGAGGACAAAATATATAAATGGGCGAAAAGCGATCCGAGAAAACAAAAATTATACCATGGTATGTCGAAGTAAAAAAATATCTAAGTTTACAATAAGGAATAGATCCACAGTTTATCACGTTAGACCCACCACCAAAGATGCCACTGATATTCAGAGTTTTAAAACACCTTTACTCGTAATACTTTTATTATCAAAGGATACCAAAAAGGACAAATCAGAGGTCAGCGGCGAAGTCGAAGATGTAGCTGGAAGGTTCGCGATATGTTGAGACGCGTTCGATCGAAACTGACTAGTAGTTCCAAGGGCTGGGTAGTACGGTGTACCCACCCGTGATCTGGTGTCTACGTGTGACCGAGAGCCTTCATCCATGATGTTTTCGGTAAAACTAACGAGATCGGAATCAATGTTGAAGGCTTACAGAATTATTTATCCTGAGGATTTACTTACCGCCCCAGAATGACTCAATAAGGCTCATTTTTAGGACTCATCTGTTAATGATGAGCCAGCCACTTCGAAACTCTGCTGTTAGAGAGAGCACAATAACTCATATTTAAGAACATCACATCTTTGATTTTTTTCGGACAGTAAAAAGATATATAATCTAGACTGTGGGATGTATCTTTAGGTACCAGTCGTCTCACTATTAGCAAGAATCACCTAAAGCTCATAATTTTATGGGCAAACAGATATTTTTTAGGTTCAAGAACCCGGAAAGTGAAAAAAGTAGTTCTTGTTTTACAAAATCACGAAGTGACGCCCATTCAAAACGTTTTCTTACAGTTTTCGTCCCTAGATTTGTTAGAGTGGGTTTCCAGCTTATCATTATTTGTTTGTTGTCTTTTTAATATGGCTTTTATGTGAAATAACAAAATTACAAGTTATATACGGTGACTTGCAACTATTGTTAAATTCTTATGCATAGTTTTTGTATGTCATTCGTTATTTCAAAACAGAAGTTCGTTATCGGCAGCTATATTTTTCACTTATAGTACAGTTATAATTCACTCTTAGTACAGAACCTTCTCTGGGTTTGTCAAACCTCGAAGATGTAGATTTGCAAAGGTGGGAGGTTCAGAGTGACAAGATAGGGGGACTTTGGAGTAAAGATTTACATTCTCAGTTTCTAGATACCTTAGTATTAAGTATCCTAAATGTGATACGTATAACCCGGAAAAACACAAAGTTTATCTGTTTGGAACTTTACAAAACTTGAATACCAGCATCATGATAACACGACAGTTTCGGTGGTCGAAATCTGTTGAATGGTTCATCATGATCTTGTCGAAACTTAATCACATTTGAACGGTAGGGCTTAGTTTATTGTAACAAGTATATGCTTTGGACACAGCCGTGTTTTGTTTGGTAATGTCAGTGTTTATTTGCTCACAACTAGTCAGTATTTAATAGTTCCATTCTGTCCCGTCGATTTGCTTATTCTTAATAAATAAGCGCAAAATCTGGTGCGATTCGGCATCAAAATTGAGTTGTTTTACACAATATGTCTGAATAACATTGTCCAAAAACGAGGGAGAGTATATAGGCTAACAAGAGTAGTGTATAATTGAGGATACATTTAAGTTAACAAAACAACGGTGTTTTATCAATGCTGAAAGAGTTCCATTGATTTTTATCAAGGGTGTACAAAAACAGTGCACATCGGTCTTGATTTGCTCCTATTCTCAGCCATGTCTGATAACATTTCAAACCGCTGAGTTGCGATATCTTTAGTATCTCAGACATAGAGTTATGATGAACCGACATTTGTAGCACATGTTCAAGCCACAGAAGCCATTGTTCCAATATAGTGACACCAAGTGATTTATCATGTGTGCCCAAACACTACCGAATCCCAAACATAGTGTTGTCACTGAATGTCGTCAGTCTTTCGGAGACGACGATGATCAAATATAGGTATTCACCGAATCTCTTCAACTTGAAGAGGCCAGGTTTTATAAACATGAAGCAGAACTTTCACAGGCACGTTGTAAACCCGACCTTTTTCAACCCGATCAATACTAGTGACGTCCACAAAGTTGGCCCAGATTTTCATAAACTGCTCCGACTTTCACCATACGTAAATTAATTCTATCTGTCACGCCACCACAAATGTTCACACAACTACCGAGATGCAAAAAATTTTCGGTTACTTCTGAAGGCTCATCACAGGGAGTGAGTGTAGATATAGGCTTTTATCTGTCTTGTAAATGTCTTGCATTCACAATGTACAAAGCACATTTCATACTCAGTGTCACTCATTGCAGACTAATTAAGATAGAAATACTCAATTGCAGAGTTTCGAAAATTTCTAGTTATCTCATCTAGTAGATCTACTCTGTTGTCTCTATATGCATATTACGAACATATAATTTTCGTCTAACATCTGACATCTAATGCACCAACTCTTTACCTTATCGTATGTAATATTACAGAACCTCAAGTCATCACGTTAAGCTCATAACTTTACACATAACACTTTGTTTCAATAGAGTTTTGAAGTAAGTATTAGTCAAGGTTCTTCTGGCGATAAAATTTCCTCATCGTTAGATTTTGGGAATGATCAATAGCGTATAAAGATTCCTAACTATTTGTCTGTGGAACTTCTTTAATCATTCATAAGCAATTAAGAACCTCGGAAATGTCCATTGGTTCAAGTTGTCATACCATATCAGTACAACGAAGAAAACACATCAAGAAATGTCTAAGTAGTCAAAGTAGTAACAGTATTAGCAGCAGTGGTTTTTTATTATTTATTTAGTTAAACACATTGACACTAAGGGGCTTGGTCACTTTCTTAAGCTTATATAAAGGGGTGCCAAAATAAATATGTCAGGCTACTCAGACTGAAACAGGCAGTTTTCTTAGGGGGCCACTTCCCAAGCCGTTGACTTAGGGGTCTAACAAGACCAAGATCAGTGTAGGGAGATGCGGTCCTATGGTACCTGTTGGCCAAAAGTAGGTCCGTACACTATATGTTCCCTCAGGGTTCTGGAACCAATGTGCATCATAGGTTTGGAATCAGGCTTTTCCAACTGCGCCAGGAGGGTTCTCCGTACCCACCAAATTTGTTTAAGCGTTGGACATTCGCTTATCGTCCCTTCAGTTTTGTAAACAACATCCGCTTCTCGAGAAGGCAGTGAGTAGGACTTCCTTGGCAGTGGCTGTATACTTGTGGCCATATGAAAGCATTTCACGGGGGAGAGCGGACTCTTCCCACCCTCAACTGTACCAGGGAATTCGGGTGTATGAACTAGGCGTAGAGAAAATAATTCAGGGGAAAATTAATTCTTGCAATCTATAAAACAACTTCAAAGTTCAAGGTACAAAGGAAGAGTGAATACCTTGCACCATTGTATAACTCAGTCCCTAAAGAATTCGGTACAAATACACAAGGCTTGTTTGAAATGTGTAAATACCTGTAAAAAGTTCACCTCAGAAAAAATACATGTATTTTCAGCCACATCATATCTTCATAGTATCTCAATATACTTTATGACTACAGTAATCAGTTAAGGTCATATTGCGTAACAGTTGCTTGGGATATTGATATACCAATAATGCAAACAATATTTAGTTGCCAAAGTTATTGGGCGATGTTTTATGTATTTGTTATTTCTTAACGTATTCCGTTAGTCAAAAAGAATGCAGAAATATAATCTTTTAGGCTATTCAACATCAGGAACATTTTCCAAACATATCTAATGCGAGTATAAGCAGAGTTGTTTTTGTTGTAAAGTCACTACACATTATTTTTAGTCGATTTAAGTGGTAGGTAAATTCCTACTTTCTAACTTACTCTACGGCGTTCTGTCCCTATGCAAAATTTGTCTTGATCTCACTATTAATTTACTGTTTTAATATCATCCAAGTGTGATGACTTTACAGGTTGCTTAGGTCACTATTTGTCAGCTGCTATTACAATAGCGATATATCTCAATCAGTCATATGCTAGGTTATAAATGGGCACACATTTTGAAGCGGTTCTGGTTTATTTGAGTAGTAGCAGTTGGAATAATGTTAGGTTGACACCTACATGCTCTCTCTTTACAATTTGTGTTTCTGTGCTCATTATGAACGCCTAGAAATCAGAAATTTTTTTCAGTGTTCCAACAGTGTACGCACTTGATGGCGTTCTGTTTCTGCTTGTTTGAGATCTGGACTCGTTCAAAGTTTGATTTAAGTGAACTATCATTTTTAATTAAGACCATAGGATTAGGTGGTTGAATATATGCAAGAAAAATGTGTCATCATCTGCAACCATAATCTAACCAGTCTATAGTTGTCGGTTCAATTTTACTGTGATTACATAAGTTAATGATTAATTCTAATGCATTATGATGCATGTATTGACTGTCTCCCGTCGCTGCTTAGGATAACTAAAAATCTCCATCCTTTTGGTGAATTTTTGCCATTTAAAGCTATCTGATTATATTCTTTATGCCATCTTGAATACTATGTTCCTTGTTGTTGATTCTCTGGTTTGCTTGGAGTTTTGAATTGATCAGTTATCGGACTCCCACTAATTATTTTGTAACATCTATTTGGGAGAATTTCACTTCCAGGATTTTAAACGTGTTTAGTTCTTGGACATACAGATATTTAAGTGTAAATTATAAAATCATGGTTCTGAATCCTTCAGTCGAATGTAGTATCGTCATATAAATATTGTTCTAATATAAAATAGTGTGACATATACTCAGTTCACACTCAACAGTTGGACTGTATTATTTTCATAATAATTGGTCCATGTTCTCTGTCTATCACAATTTCGATGGTCATAATGAATATTCTACAAGATTTTACCCGGAAACTAGATGACTGATAAATATTACAATATATTAATAAGATATCGAATATTCATTTATGTTTGCTGCATTAAATTCACTAATGATGTGCCTTTTTTTAGGAATCTGAATATTTTCGTTATTTAGCTTTCAACTATGCTTCTCAAAGAGTATCGCATATGCATGCCCTTAACAGTTGCCGAATATCGGATAGCTCAGTTGTATATGATCCAGGTAAACGTTTTCGGTTTTCCCTGTTTCCAATGTTCTTTTTTCTTGTGGCTGTTGGGCTTCACATCCTATCACTGTAGGAATATTACAGATGTACTCGTATTCTTCCTATTAGTACCGTTACATCACATCACAAATTAAGTGATACGATGTAATTATAGACATCATTAAGTCGCTTAGAATTTTGTAAAAATAGTACAGGTTGATTAAACCATACTAACTTGCCTGTCTTTGTAATTTTCTATCTTTTGTTTGTATTTAATGAAATTTAATGCTATTTTTTTTCACAACCTGTGTATATTAAATACTGATCACGAACTTATTCCAATACACCATTTGTAATGGATTTTATTTGCATTCTGTTTCTTAAAAGTTTTGGAAACCGCCAGCACAGATAGCATTTTCTCTATCCTTATTTATAAAATGGTTTATAATCGCTTGTATGGAGTAATGTACATACTTTTATATTATGTACTGTGGCACCGTTATTAAGGATGGTTGAGTTGTTCAGGTTTCACAACATGAAAATATCTTTTAAAGCCTTTAATTGTTCACCTAAAGATGAATGATTTCACTCATGTACTTGCCAAAATGAAGGTGCCAAAGTGTATGTTTAGTTCATTGAATCATGTAATTCATTGAGTAAGGTCTATTGATGCTAGATCGGGTGTAGTTCGAACTTGCTGTCGATTGCTTTAAGGCCAAGTCCTCTGGCCCTTTAACCACCGCTTCCCAACGTTTCACTTATTGGGATTTGATTTTCAGTTTGGCATAAGCTTTTAATACAGGAGGGCCTAATTTGCAGTTGAGATAGAAAATTTAGTATTTTGTTGCTAAAACCACTCAAGATACTTTTCTCAGTTATGAAGAAAGATATCGATAGAAGTGAATTCAATATATCAACTATCAAAAGAATATCATACAAATAGGAGGAAAGCAGTTGGGTTTTTGCGGAGGCTGACATACACTACTTATTCACAATATAAAATTAAGTTCTGAGAGTATGTAGAATTGATTGAATCAACAGTTTCGGGAACTAAGAACTGGAAACCCTTTACAAAGCAGATCACACTTAAAGTTTTCAAGGATACTTTTTCACGTGGTCAGTTTATTTCATGGATATGAGGTCAATATATGTAATCCTGCCACAAAATAATATTGATGCCATAAATGCTAACCACTTGAGCAAAAGAACTTTCCATTATTTAAATTTCAACAAACGCAGATTATGAATTCAGTGCCAGATTTGCTGTATAGTTTCTCTCACATTGACTATTTGATAGTAACTTTTTTTAATACATCAAACGAGCACATGTTTCTAAAGGTATTTATTTCCATTGCTTTAATGAGCGGTAAGATGTACATTTCTTCCACGATAATAAAAGTGAAATGTCTTTGGTTTAACAAATGAGTTATTTGTAAATCTTTACATTTAACCTAGAAAAAGTCTCGTGAAGAAAGTACAGGTCGTGGAAGTGGTGTAGAAATATTGAAAAACGAACCTTATGAAAATGGTCCTGGAGGAAAAGGTCAATACACATTTAAAATTTATCATGTTGGTAGCCATTTACCAAGTAAGTCTTATGTTTCTGAACTCTTTGGACGGAAATTGTTGGCGTTTTTCACAGGTCACTTATTAAACACTAAGCTAATGTATTTTACTTATTATTTACGTTGTATACAAGCTATATCAGAAATCTGATTGTCACTTAGTATGTAGAAACCGATATACATTTATATATTCATGAGTAGTTTTAAAAACGTAATATGCATCGATATATATATATAACGGTATAAGCTTCCATCACCACCTACCTTGATATGTGTTCCTGGCTGATATGTAAATAGATTAGAAAAAAGTTGGGGACTAAGAGCCCATTGTGAATTCGGTTTATTAGGTCATTGACTGCTGGTATGAGTCATGTCGGTCGGCACAGATTTCCTGGATAGTACTCGAGGAATACTTACTATTAGAGTTATCTGTTCCGGTTAGAAAATTTGTGGAACAAACATTGATGAAAGGTCCCATATGAATATAATGTAGTTTAACTGTTGTTTTATAATTTAAACTGTAGCTTGGCTTCGTAATATACTACCATCATCGGCTCTACGTGTTGAGGAAGAGGCATGGAACGCATATCCATACACCAGAACAATTTATAAAGTTCCCTTTGTTGAAAAGTTGGTACTCGATGTGGAAACATATTTTTTCGACGATGCTGGGGAACAAGATGATGTTTTCATTCTTTCACCAGATGAAAGAAAGGCACGTATCATTGGTGAGTTGTCACATATCAGGTACTATTTTTATCGGTCTACATATTTTACTTATGAAGTGGAAGGTACAGCTTTTCTTATCGAATAACTGATGTCCAGGTTTTTTGGTTTAATTGTATCAATTATGTTAAATTCATTTCTAGTTTAAATTTGTTCAAATTATCGCGTATCTGATAAAGAGGATTAAAACAGTGGTTCGTGTGACTAAATATCAACACAGATAATTACATTTGCCCAATGACATGAGAGTTTAGTGGCCCGTGGATCTGACTCCAGTTAGATCGTATAAATGTTTGCTATCATCTATTCTCGTATATCATCGTCGACTTAAATCGCATTAGTCCATAACGGGATTAAATAAGTCAATTAACGAGAATGGCATTTGAATACATATATTTTGTATGTAAAGTGAATGCGATAGAACAACACGAAATGACGCGCAGGGAAGATGGCTGGGAAACCAACTCCATTTTAGTCAAGCGTTACTCAGTATTTATAGTCAGACAAAGTAAAGCTACAGACATGTGATTAATAGGATAAGAAGGGCACACACATATACGCTCATATAAAAACAGTCAAAACTGACAAGCGAATAATTGACAAGGTCAAAATATGACCCAAGTAGAATGAACAGAATGATTTGTCCAAAAACTAGAATAAGGTATATGGGCTTGGCATAATGACCAACACTACAAGAGAAAGACGAGTCAACTGACCGAATCAAAGCAAAATAAATATGATATTTAAAAATAACATTATAAATTAAATAATACATAATCTAAGGATAATACATGTTTAGTTTTATCCTAACATAATTATTAATTTCATTTAACACTACTTATAATTTAGGCCGTTGATTTTTGGTATATCAAATAGTCAAACATAACATAGAATCTGGAACGTGTACATCGGTTCAAGTTGTCACACTTCATTAATACATCGAGATGAAATGGTCAACGCAAATCCCGTAGTAGTAGATATAGTAGTAGTGTTAATGGTAGCATAAAGGTTAAGCGTAGAAGATACGACTCGAAAAGTTAAAATATGGCCACAAACCTGATTAATTTGTGTTGTTGTTATTATTACGGTTTTGATTATGATTATATGGCTAAAGATTTCTCGACCGTTGTTGGGACCTTGACATGGTGGTCGGGCTTGCCTATCGTGATGAAGCAACCGAGCTATACTGGCTGGAACAACCGTTCCTCAAGGTCCTACCATGTCAGACAGGTCGGTTGAAGAGCGGTAAGACTAAGAGCAACAAACCCAAGGTCCGAAGGCGAAGTCGTACTGCCGACTGTACAGAGGTGTGACAGCAGTAAGGTGTTTCCTTCAGACAACCAGCATGACAGCGATGCTGCCTTCCCACAAGAAGGGGTTGGGTTAGAAAAGGTTGACCCTAAAAACGCACACCTCGTCTTATCCCACGGACATCCATCTCCGGCGGTAAGGTCTCAAAAAGTACGGAGCTAACACAAAAATTACCCATAACAAGGTCGTGTGTGACCGACCTCAAGCAGTTGTTTCTTGGGCACTGTGGTCACGTTCTCAGGTCACTAAGACCACCTCTAATCCAATTTCCTTTTCAGGTACCTCCAGAAAAACCTTTCCATGGTGTTGGCAACCGGGAAGTGAGAACTGCTCTCGTACCTCTAACAGCACTCAAGACTGACTGACTTAAGATTATTTGTGCTTCATCCATAACATTATTTGCAACTGTAAGGAGTTTTTACTTGTTCTGCTATTGGGACTGTTCTTCATTACTTACCAGGTAGTTTATGGTAGGGTATTCCCTTTGTATTTCCGTTCGAGTTCATGAATAATGACATATTCATACCTCATTTTTCCAAAGGGTAGATAAGAAGAGAATTGCACCGACTACTATGATGTCTCTGTTAGAGTTTTATCATTTAGTATCTCGGTAAAAGTGTTTTCCTAATAACTCATAAGATAAATTGTAGTAAATAAGCATAATTAATCAGTTAAAAGACATTGAAAGCAAAATAAATCGTTGCGATGGTTGGAAAACAGGTAATTCAAAGATCTAGATAAGCTAAAATTGTGTACATATATGGGTATAGATGAAGTTTTCATCGCTGTAAAAACAAAAAGATCCATTCAATCTTTATTTGCACCTATTACTTCTTTGTTCTAAGTAATAGTAAATTCTCTGGCTATCGATGGATTGATTTTCAAGTGTTATCGTTGCTTATAAAAAGTACAAACTAATGTAATTCTTTTCACCATAGATTTTGGGTCATTCTTTAAAATCAAGTTTCTGTAAACGCCTCATTATTGTTAACGTATAATTTTTCATTTCCTTTTCTTATCGTTAAATACATTCGTCCATTTGTTTCCGAATTTTTTATACAGATTTTATTGACATCGTAAAAGATCCAATTACTGGAAGTGATTATAGACCAGAAGAAGATCCTAGTATTTATGTATCCGAAGCAACTGGTCGTGGTCCATTGTCACCTAATTGGCGTGAGGAATTTATTCATGCTCAACAAGTGACTCATGAAACTTATGAAAAGCCACCAACTCGAACTCATGATAATTCACCAGCTATTGTTGAAAATCTGAAGCCGCTGCATAAACGTATTATGTGTGCATATAAACTTTGTCGAGTAGAGTTTCGTTATTGGGGTACACAAACACGAGTGGAACAGTTTATCCACGACACTGGTATGTAACACCTTCACGTTTAAAGGTTAAATGATTTATGCTTCATGTTGTCTACTCAATTTGATAATCATTTATACACTATTTAACAAATATATGTGAATCTCAGTAATCATTATTATTTGTAAAATAATCCAGAATAACTTTGGCCAATATGATTCGTGGATAAAAAACAGATCCAATGCAAGTCGGTATTATTTCTTCTCTTATTCATTTTCCAAATAAAAGTTTGTATACTCGAATTTGAGCCACAGCATTTTTGTTTTAGGAATAGTGATACTATTAGACCTCTTCAACTGAAGTGTAGTTGAAACCTTCAATCTGCTGGTTGGAAACCAAGTCCTTTTATTGTTAGATTGTCATATACTACTCGGTCTGGAGAAGTGTTTCGAGTATTTTTCACTGTTTTAGAATCTCTAATAATTTTTTTGGGTTTTTTTAAAGTGGTGCGATATGTGCTTAAAATATGGTTTGTTTTATATGTATATCAACTTTGCAAAACGTGTGCTGACATCATCGGGATTGTTAGTATATTTCTATCACTAAAACTATCAATATGAAGCGATTAGTTCTGTTCATTGATCTGCGGCCTTACAAACAATTTTGCTAATTTTCAGAAATAAAAACTATTCTCTAATTAGTTCCTATTAAAGATATAATGCTGACGTTTTAAGAACTGATATCGAACAATTACATTTTACAACTATATTGTGATAAAAGGAAATTAACTATCTCATTATTTCTTTGAAGCTTATTAAGTAGGAAGTTAATCACTTTCATAACTTGTATTGTGTGACAGTCAAAATGAACTCGCTCTTTCGAGTGTATGTAACTTTCTAGTGTTGTCACTTCTAAGCATGTTACTACACCTGTATAACGTTTCACCCTATTAATTCATCTGAAATATCCTTTTTCGAAGTTCTATCATGTTATAAAGGTCGATTGGGATGTGGCCAAACCAATTTCTACAAATTTCATAAAGTAAAGTATCAAACAATCATGTCAAACTTGAGATTTACTGTTTAGTTTGTCTGATTTTAACTTCAGAAATCTGTTCTCAACAGTAAGACAGTTTTTATGGCAAATTTTTTTGTCTTCAAAAACAATTATAAAATCCTTTTTGAAAGGTGGTTTTTAAAGTATGAACTCTGTCTTTTGAAACTATCAGTTATTAGTTGTTATCAAAAGGATAATTATTCCTAAACACTTATTAAAGCGAACTGTAATAATAATTTATTAGACTGTTGTAATTTTCCGGATCGTATTAAATATTTCTTCATTTGCCACCGAATTGAGAGGTGTAGACTTTACATTCATTACAGTCGTATTAAACTTATGTTTCAGTTTAGCGTAAATAATTTACGCATTGTCATCGTACTAAAATATTTAAAGATATTTTGCCTGGAAAGAACATGCACCATCGTTCCAATTAGTATGTACTGCTTATCTATCATCTGATTTTTTAATATGATCGTTAGAAGTCGGTCAGTGCTAAGGACTACATAGATACGACAGTAACTGTTCATTGGCGGATTGGTTGCAAATATCTTGGTCAGGACGCTAATGACTCAGCATTATTAAAACCTTTGTCTATAACACTTGATAACGCGAGCTCAAATCTCATGGCAAGTGTTAGTTTCCAGTATATTACAGATATGCTTTGCTAATTTGTAAAGAGCAAGAACAAAGATTCTAGCAGAATAGCATGAATTCATTTTATTTCGTAGGTTCTCGTCAGCTGTATGAAATTGCTAATTTGTGCCAACTATCACAAAACCTTGATCGAAGGTTTACTGCTCGTGGTTTCCAACCTTCTAACATCAGAAAATTGCACGTGAAGTCGAGTCACTTTGATTCGTATTCACTTTTACTAGAATCCGTCGATAATGAAAGGCTAGACAAACGTATTATTGATTAGTATTCAGTGATCAGTGTATAATATTTATATATTTGACTTTCTTACAATAGGATTATCATGAATACTACAGAATGCTTTGTCGTCTTCTAAAACACAAGATTACTTGGAATTTTATCCCTTTATTTTAGCACTTCGAAAAACTATGCTAAGAGCACATCGACAAGTATGGGCGTGGCAAAATGAATGGTATGGTCTTACAATAGAGGAAATTCGTCGTTTAGAAGAGGAAACAGCTCAAGCATTAGCGTCCAAAATGGCTGATTCCAACCAACCGCCAAATAATGACGGCGAGTTATCTAAGCAAGTTCAATCAACAACATCAAACATCAATGAAACTATGAATGCTATTGAAGTGAAATGTAATCAGTCTGATGAAGTTAGTTTAAGTCTACATTAACTAGTTTTGGACTAATAGTCAGCTGACTTATACGATACATTCTTTTTTCTCAAAATCTTTACATTTTCATTTCTGAAGCTTATAAAAGCCTTAATTTACATACCGTTGAACATTTAAACGAATTCATAGAAAATGTACACTTTTTGTCTGCGAATTGACTGATTTATTTTATCAGCTATGGGTCAGGCGTTTTCTATACAACGTTCAACGAATATATAAGTATATCGCGCACGAAATCACTGTTAATATCATTGTAAACACCATAATCAGACTAGATTACTACTCTTGTACAGACCATTTACTTACGTTTGAGAGAACACACTCAACATTTAACTAGGTGTCGGTCTCTCGAAAGACCTCACCTTAACTCACTTAGTTCCAATCGATCACCAGCTTCCTGTTGCAGCGAAGTCTGGCAACCCAACCTGATGTTGTTTTTCACCTTGCAACTAAATGAAGAAACGTCTTTTCAACATACAGGTCGGCAACCACAGATGACTGTTATCGCCGGACAGAACTACGCAAATCAACGATTGATGAATTGTCTATATCCACGTTCTTGTCATCAACAGCTAGGGTCTGGTGAATATTCTTCAACAAACGTCTAAGACAGTAGGTAAAATAAATAACTATCTACTTGAGAATTTTCCAGACCACTAATTACACGGTTTTCGGCTTGTGATAGCGTATTGTTGTCTAGCTGAACCTTAGCTAATAAATTATCTATAACTTACTAATGTGAATGTGAGATGACTTACGAGTTCTTGTTTTAAAATGTCATACAAATTGCCTGGGGCTGGTTTCGTAATTCTCACACTTGTTCCACTAATTTATCCGGCGACAATAAACTAGCAGACATAAACGTCACTCTCTGATTAGTGTTACTGTGGGCCAGGAAAATACTTTTTAAGCATACACACCGTAATATTGGGTCTCTGTCTATAAAGCAGGTACAAATAAAGAGATGGCACCCACTAACTCCGATTTAGAAAAGGCGAGCAAAAAATATCTTGCGACTTGTGTTGATAAATGTTATTGTAATTCCAAAGTGTAAAATAGCGGATTAGATCTGGAAATAGTTCCGAAAATGTTAATTTTGGTGCAACTATAAATTATAACCCAAAAGTTTCCTGGGCAGCGTTTGTGATATTCTTTCCATAAGGTTCACTATTTTATTGGGGTTGCCTCCCAATAAAATCGAACTTCAAAGATAAATCGTCCCACGTTACTTTGTACGACTTGATGACCGTATTGTTAGCAGTGTGAAATGAAAAGTCAAAATACACAGAGTTGTAAAACAATATATTTGGAGTGAATTATAGAAACATACTAGACATGAACAACCTCTTAGTGTTCACACAAAGATGGAAGTATATCGCCACTAAATTTGCACACAAACAACACAAGTATACATTTTTCACGAGTTTACTCATACGTTTCAAGGTATCCAAAGTATGTCAACTACACAGTAAATACTCTAGGTTTAATTTACTAGTAGTTTTTGTATAAGATTATGAAAGTTTTTTGACAAAAGTTTAGTTTACTGAATAATTAAACTAAAAACCATGGATATGTCAAATCGTATCTAAAAGGTGTTAATTAGGAACCTTATCCAGATCTGTTGAATGTTAAACACGAAATGTTATTGATTGCATCGTTTGATGCATTCCAAAATAAAAGTAATCTCTTGTTCTTTGCAAAAACGATAGCCTGGTGGATTTTTACATAAATTTTGGGAGTTACATGCATACACAGACTATGAAATTAGTTTTGTGGCATTTTTAAGCAGTTTACTCAAAGTTAAGCTGATAAGATATGGCTACCATATCATTCTCAAACATGCAACCTGGAACAAATATTCGACTCAAGTTGCCAAATCGTTTCAACACAAGTGAGACAGAGTAAATAAGATTGAGCCAATAATAATAGTTGCATCTGTGAAAATAAAAAGAACTAAACAGGAAGAATGTGGTTCAAGGTGAATGAATTGGTTTGCAGAGTTAAAGACTATGAAGTAAAATTATAATCCAATACTTATGGGTAGATGGAAAGAAACGAACGGATCTTCACCAATGTGTGATCAGTTTTAAATCATATCGTTTGAGATTTCCAACCACTGATCAGGGTTACTACTCCAGTTGTTATGTTAGAGCTGTATTCTCAAATATTCTGAATATATATACTGTACAAGGGAGTATATACTTTATGAGATACCTTTCTCGGAAATTTATAGTTTCATGTTAGTTTCCAATTGATGATGTTATGTGTTGAAACGTATCCCGATTTATACTTCCATCAATTACGTAACTCATAAATTAATATTTTTGTTAACCTATATAATTTCTAATCACTAAGTATACAGTTATGATTTCAGTCAGTCAGTCAGTAACAACGTAGAACTTTGTACGTACATACATCAGTTCGAGTTGCCATACCACATTAGTACAGAGATACAGTTGTCGATTCAAATCCCGTAGTGGTAGAGGTAGTAAGAGTATAAGCAGTAATCGGAAAGATTAGGGTTTGAAGATGTTATTTGAGGAGTATAATACAGTAAAATAAATTTGGAAAGAGAAAAAAAAGACATGAAGAATTCAGAAAATTAGAATTCGGGGGAGCACAAAGAGTGGATGCACCTGCGTGATTGCAAACGACTTTGAGCCATGTCATTCAGGGTCTCTAACTATCGGTTGCTATCATCTCGTGGTCCTTAACCAGGTAGTCTAAAACTACCAACATGGCTCAATTGTGATCTACTTATTTTGAAGTTGTTTAAGTAAAGTGTTCATGCTAGTTCCTACCTTTTACGAAATATAAAAATGTTCCTTTTATAGTGATATGTAATTTTAATTGAGTCGATTCATATATAAGCCAGCCTGTAAATTGTTTATGATTGACCATGACTGAGATGAAAATAATCACATACTTTCAACTATATTTATTCTACATTCTTCACTTTGTTTCAGCATTTAAATTGTTTTGTATATCTGAAGTTGTTTTTTCTCTACAAAAGTATTGATTTTACGCTTTCATGGTTTTGTACTCCTGCTTTTTTTGTTTAAATTATTAGAAATGTGAATTCGAATCAAGCGCAGCGACATCAGAAAAATTCCATCTTCCAGTTAATTCAACCGATATTGCAGGTGCGGATTTGTCTAAATGCTACTCGTCCAGTTAAAATTATGTAATCTGAATAGATATTATGTATAATGTGTTTTCCTCTTTTTTATGTATGTATATATATGTATCTGTAGGTGTTATCACTCTTTTTATACTATTGTCGCTGTTTTTATCTACAATCATTTCTGAGGAATCATATTTCAAGTATTGTTGATGGTAAAGTTAGTTAAATATGTAGAAATAATCTGTATCAGAAAACCCCTGCAGATCAATAATATTGATGAATAAATAGGTATATTAAAACAAACTTCAGTGTAATTTAATCCTTATTCTGATCTTTTACGTGTCCTCATTTATTCATGTATACAAATCTGTATTTCATTAGTGGATATATCTTGTTAACTAATAGGAATATGAAACTTAGTTCATTTAAAAAAGTAGTGAGAATGGTAGCAAATAGAACCGAGGCATACATTCTAAAAAATTCTACACTAAGTTGAAATATTTTGATAAATTTATTTTACTACTAATTTTTCCTTGTTTTCACTTTATTTTTTACCTAATTCGTCTTTATTACTTTCTCAAGTTAAGTATAGTGTAGTACTTAGTTAGATAATTGATTATCTTCAGTTATTCATTTCTTTTTTCTATTTTTCTAATTGTTTTCCTTACTACAATTTTAGCATGAAATTCTTCAAATACTACTATTATGATATACTTTGTACTTATCTTTCTATTTTTCACTATTTATTTGTTATTACATCATATAAATATAACTAATATAATGCGGCTCAACTCAAAAAATTTTTTTTGATTTATACGTGTTATTGTTTACGTTTGAATAGCTTCAATGTGAAATATTTTAAGAGTTAACATAAAATGTTCTATTTTGTGTGTAAAATATTTGAAATAGAAGTTATGGTATTTTTGTGTGTATTTATCCATGGTATCTATAATTTAACTGTTATTTTGCTAATCTCTATGCTTTCCTAGATAGTTATGACGGTTTATGTTGTTTATAATTTAAGTTTGTTATATATATATTCGTGTGTGTAATCAACTTTCAATATTAGTGTATGATATAGTCGTTTATTGGATATTGTTTTACTACCTCTACTGCTGTGTAATTTGCCTTGACAATTTCATTTCGTTGTGCTATTAGGTTATGGCAACTTGAACCGATGTACACATGTGCCAGATTCTACGTTGCCTTTGACTGATTGATTAACTACTGTTACAGAAATATTTTACTCGATATCCATACATTATTTTCTATGTCTACGGATAGTTTTTTCCTAAGAATCATTTGATGGTTTTAAGTTCTCATCTTAACAATATTCCGACTGACATTGTAATCTGGTTATCACGAAAATAACTAGTAAGTTCTGTATGATTCACTCAGTTTCCAAATAAAATTCTGTATGTATTCGTTGATTTTGTACTATTTGTGTACACCGTACCTTGTTATCTTGTTCATAAAAGTACTCTAAAGCAAATTTTTTGCTTAACTGACGAATTACCTTTTTTAAAAAGTTTCTACAGTAGTTAAGTACCATAAAGTTGTATCACTCTCTGTTTGATGTGTGAACATAATCCGCTTTCGTTCAAGTTTCGTGTTATTTTGATATTACAGTAACTTGATTTTGTTACCCTACTTAATCTTTCTATAAACAGTGCGCAATATTTGTATATTGTTATTGAAATAGTTCTTGCCGATAATCTGTGTGCACAGTTTATTGTCATTTCTAATTATTAAGTTCAATGTGTTTTTAACTCACTGAGTAGGAGGCTATTCTCATACAGAAGAACGTAAAATCTAATGTTATATCGAGTGGTTATATGCTATCTAATTGTTCTTTGTAATGTACATTACAAATAATAAACCTACACATTTTTCAAATCTATTTTTTTGAGCACTTAACGTGGTCAGTGACTTTATCTTTCAATATTTCATGTACCATTTAGTGTCATTATTTATTTTCTATAATCGTATTACGACACAGCTTTTGTAAGTTGAAGTGAGAACTTTTTCTATTGTTGGTCTTATAGTTATGTCATCAATTACCAATATGGATATTTTATCTGATTCTCTATATTTATTTTTTTGTTTTCTTCTCTCCACTACCAAGATGTTGGCATCTCACTTTAAATCTCAATTTACTAACTTGTTTCCTATTTTCAGTGTTCTTTTAACAAACTTATTCATATTAGATTACCACTGATTTATTTTTAAGCCTAAATGATACATATCTATGACTGAATATGATTTCATTCCCAATTTACAGTTTATGAAAACAATCCTTTGTTTTTTCTACTGAAATGTCAAATTCAGATGTATTTCCCAAGAAATATATTTAATTTATCTAATTCTTCGTATTTTGTCAGTTTACTTTCTTACTAAGTGAACCATTCTTTCCATCGAAGAGTAGATCTTTGGAATACACACAACAGTCAAATTATTCACTGAAGTGTTTTCGTATTAACGCTGTCATATCAACGGTTTACGTACTTTTCTAAAAAATTGAATTGTTCTAAATTAATTTGACTAGTAACATTTTAGTTTATTTTTTTAATACTGAATTTGTATTTGTACTTTTTATTTTTTGTTGTGGTGTGATTATTTATCCCGTTGTTATAATTCACGTCTTATGCATACACGTATGCGTCTTTATTCTAACTGCCATTTAAAAGCTAGTTAAACGTTATGCTAATAGATATAAATCTGTATAAATAATACTGTATGTTTCCAAATGTATTGTATAATTATTTTGACTAACGGGAAAAAGGATTAACTGTTTTGCTTTGTTTTTTCTTTCGTAAAATAACATTAGACACGTGTATATTTTATGGAAAACTGTGCTACATTGTTTCTTTTTGCTAGAATTTATAACAGCCTTTTTTACCTGGTTTGAAATTTAGTTGTATGCTTTTTAGATAAAATTTTATGTGTTCATTGACAGTGTATTCATCATTCCGTATACTGCACATTTTTACTCGAACATTCACCGTGTTTAATAGGTCTTATTTCATATGAATTGGATACTATTGATTTTACTGAGTTTCAATCTAAAAAATCATACTAACTCAAGCCTTGCGATGATTTAATCAAGCAATATTTTATAGATGAAAGATATTCAGAATCGAAAGGCATAACTATTCAGTTAATGCTGATTTTTGTTAATCAAATCGTTGTTATCATATTGGAGCAAGCAATTCTGAAAATAGTTTATTTTCAGTCTAATTCTCGGTGATAATCATGGTTTTATAATGTTTTAGAAAAATCTGTATAAGAAATAGAATCATACTATTTCATTTCACTTAAGGTAGATTTTTTAAAGTGATAATTTCATAAAAGTACAATCGATTTTTATTTCAATAGTAACCTTTTCTACACAGTATTTATATGGAACTGTATAATCTAACTTAAACTTGTGAAAAGTTAATTCGATTATTTAACATAACACTAATTATTAAACAAATCCATTCATATTAGATGGTGATTGAAAGCAATAAGAATAACTGGTTTCCAAATACTAGTTCAAATATAATTGCAACCTAGCCATTATTATTATTATTATTATTATTATTATTATTATTATTACTATTATTATTATTATTATTATTATTATTATTATTATTAAATTCACCATCTACTCATGCAAAAATAAATCATTTGCTGATAACATATTGTTTTTGAGTCTTCTCACTTTTATTGTTATATGATAATTTTAACCATAAATCCAATAAAAAGAAACAATCTCATAAATCTGAATTCGTCCTATTTATGTTATTCTGATAATTGATTTCAATGATAAATAATTTAATTATTAGTATTATATATATATATATATATATATATATATATATATATATATATATATATATATATATATATATATATATATATATATATCAGTGATCATAATTCAACGTTTTAGATAATATAATGTTTATCGTTATTTTCTTCTTCGTGATATCTTTTAATTTATTTAGTAATTAGAATTTATTATCTAATGGAAAATTAATTTCAGTCATTTTATATTTGGAACATATTCATCATTATCTCATAATTTATACATATATTTATTCTCGGTACTATTATCATTCATAAAATTACAAATGAAAAGATTTATATATGTATCATTAAGAATAAAATAGATGTCGTTGAAAAATTGAGGCTAATGTTAATACATTTTGTTGTTTCTAAACACGTTGTCATTTAATCTTTTCATTTTTCTTCATAGTTAACAATATTAATATTTGTTTTTGTTATCAACTTCAAAAAGATATTTTATTTGAGTGAAACAGTAATATCAAAATTGACAAGTTTCTCAATTTTCTATTAAAGCAGTAATAATAGTAATAATTACTATTATCTTGTTTCTTTTTCAGAACAAAATTTATGGGCTGATTTTAAGAAATTAGAGGCAAATAATTTTGAACTTGATGATTTTGAACCTTTTACAGCACCGTGTGCAGGTATGTGTTACTTTGTCGTATATATGCATACCGTTTACTCTAGGATATGACAACCTGATTGTTCAGGTTTCTCTTTGCTGGCACTAGTCTATACTTTACTGTTCACTGTATTCAATGCATGTGCTGGGTAAACTGTTTGAAATGAGTTCGTATTTTAGCATTTAAGTATTCTAAATAAAATATTAAATAAAACACTAAAAGATGATTGAAAAGATAATAGAAAAATGATATAACATAAAAGGGATCAGAAACTATCACACCATTCAAGCCTTAGAATGGATTAATGATTAAGAAGATATATTCAAGGTATAGGAAACTTGTTTCGAAGACCGAAAATTTTTATTCAAAGATTTAGAGACTGTTTTAAGGTCAATTATTATTGCTGCAAAACCGCTTATCATTAAAAAACTAACCTCCTTATTCCACATAGGTCTCGAAATTGCATATATTATTCAGTCACTTCTCATTACTTTTACCGATTCACACTTGTTTGAATACAAACATTGAAAGCAGTTTTCGAACAATGCAGTCATGTCTCTTGAAATGTGTGCTTAAGTGACTTAGGAATTCATTGATGTTATTTATTCTGATAAATAAGTAGAGCAGAAGACTATACTCATCAATAGAAAAAATATCAATTAAACAGGTCATAGCGTGGTGTATTCTACTTACGTTGACGGATATATGCAGTATGTAGCACCGATCGAAAGTGGAATGCATTCCAACAGAAGATTGAGACGATTCAATTGAAGAGAGTTGAAAGTAATCGTAGTAGACAGAATCGAAAGAATCATAAAGTATGTAAAGGACAACTGATGGAAGATATGTGAATAATGTATTTAATGTATGGTTTTCAGATTTTGTAAAAGCACTCTAATTTTGTATTAAGCAATAATTTGGCTTTCCGTACCTGATTGTTTCTTCACTACAATAGAACTGACTGTAAAACAGCATTGTAAATTTACACATGAAAATCTTTAGGGGTTCACCCTGAAGTTTGTGAAAGCCTCGGTCATCAAAAAATTCAAACTTCCATTTTATGGGTGGGAACAATTTTTTCTGAACTTAAATTTGTTTTGCTAACCTTTAATCCACTTTAATGCCTCAGACAGTGTGACAATAGGTTATTTTTTCCAGTTTGTCGTCTCTCTCTCTCTCTCTCTGTGTGTGTTATATTTTTAATTATCACGTATTTTTCCTTCCACATTTTATTTAATTCAACCTTATTTTGGACAGTATCTAGGTGTCTTGATAAATTGTTCGAAATATTTTTTCTAGGTGGGGGGGTACGCATTTCATTTTTCAAATGGACTCAGTACGCTTTGGAAATTTATTAGAGATATCAATGGTTTTAAGGTTTGTTAAAATGCTCCGAGTTTTTGGGACTTCCGTTACAAACAACTGTCCTCAAGAAAACTAAGTCATTTCATTGATGATATTTTTTAGATTTAAACTAGTAATTTCTAATCTGTAAAATTAACTAGAAAGAAAACAAAAGTATTTCCAGCTGGGATACAAGGAGATTATTTGGGTAGATCGCGTATATTCTGTCGTTGCAAGTGTTAACTCTTGTATTCTGTTTCGTGTCCACTATAATATAGAGCTAAGGTTTTGAATTTCCTAAATCTTTTTTAGGTATATTGAAGCAGTCCTGTAATACTGTTTACTTTGGCGAAGTTCTTTAACTGATATCAATTTACGAAGACAAAAAATAACTTGAAATTTCTTCGTGATTGTACAATGTTTATAATTGTCACTGAAATGTTTTGTGTTAGATATGTTTTAAACTACCAATAATAAAGTTGCTATATTATCTTTTCTTTTACAGAATCTGATGATGATACTAGGTCATTTGTTACATGTTGTAGCGATCTTACCGGGAATACTGATTATGCTACCCCTCTTGCGTCAAATTTTCAGAGTTTTGATATTCCAGGAATAAAATCTTGTAAGCTACATTTTTAAAATCATGGCTTCATAATACATAGGACGCATAGACTTGTTGGGAACTAGTCTCGGTAATTTCCGTACATTCATGTGGCAGATAGTGAATCATTTTGTTTAGTACTTACCTGTTCAGTTTACCTCTTTAGTTGATGCTTATATTGGAAGAGCTACTTTTTAAAAATCAAACTTAAGTAAAGTCAACAAAGGTGCAATCAGCCAGGAAACCAAGTTTCATGTTTTGTTTAATGTTTTTGAGTCAAATAGCAAAAAAATTGTTAGAGTTTCCTATTTAAGCAAGCTAATATTCTTTATAATTGATTGATCACTGGAATATGATCACCGTCAAGTATGTTATGTCCTCCTCAGTGCAGATCGGATTTTGTCGACCAAGTTGCAATGTTGCCACTAGTCTAGGTGACTCGACATCGCGTGCACTATGTTGAGATGAGATGGTGGTGTTTCACTCTGTACTTCATTGTAACAAATTACAACTTTATCATTCATATCACATTTTTTTGTAAAGTTAAATTGTACAAGAAGCATTAGCGAATAGTTTGATTAAGAAATCGGTTGTGAGAAGTATGTAGTTTGAATAAAATTAAACTTTTCGATGAAACAGAATGATTAGTTTATATATTCTCTTCCCCTTTTACTTTTCTCGTGAATAGGCTTTAACCAAAAACCTGCCTCTAGTATTCAACAAAATTGTGGTAAACTAGTCCTTATATTAGTGATTCATGGTGGTAAGTGTTTCTTTTTAAAAAAAATAACGTGATCAAGTTTATTTATTGTAAGAGAATTACAGAGGTTGTCCGATATGTAATTTACGTCAGGAACTGAACCACAGAAAACCAAAGTTCATTTAATTATTATTTCGCCGTTATCAACTATCGTAATACAACCGATCAAACTTTAAGACTTTTGCCAAAGCTTCCTCTCTTTAAAGTTCATGAGTATCAGTTGTGTTTGTTTGTTTCGTGAGTAAACTTCTTTCTGTATTTTGTGATGATACTGCCTAGTTCATGAAAACCTCAGGGTAAGACCACCCAACTGAAAGAACGCAACTTGAATAAAATTGTTCTGTTGAGCTACAGGCCCTCATCATATCAAAATAAATTATATATTCATCATTCCGCCGTGTATAAATCTCATAGTTTACTCATTTATATTACGTTTAATCTAGTTGTCGACCACTTAATTGTTGCGCTACTATAAATATATTGTAGCTCCTGTTTACTTCCTGCATATTTTATCCATGAAACACTAATAGTGAAACATTTGCATTTCATACAAGTCCTTGCTTATAATATTTATCATCTGTATTTTTTGATACTGTCGGATTGAAAAGAAAACTTTCCAAACAACATACCTTACGTCCGTTCTTTTTACTGTGTTGTCTTTTTAAAAAATCTATTCAGGTTGTATACTTGATTCAACTTACGATTTAACTACAAAACGTTCCGACATTTTAACTTTTCGAAAAACAATCGAAACAGTGACAGCTAATCACTATCCAACATTACATAATCGAATAGCTGTAAAACTTGTACCATGCCCTACAGAAATCGGCGATATATTTCGGTTATTCTCCAAGTAAGTTTATGTCTTTTTCTTCAGTTATTTTTTCTTTATTTTCTGTAGTTCAATTAAAACAGGACACTAAATATTGTCAATGCAATTGACCATCTATTTCTATAATTAATTCGGTTTGTTTGTGTTGTTTATTTATTTTTTTGTAAGATTGAAAGCTTCACCGGATCCTACTAGGCCAGTTGAAACTCAATTGCTACGTGATTTAATGCCTTTGGGGAGTATTCCTTTATTTTTGATTAATTCATCTGGATATTCGCGAGTAAGTATAATTTTAACCTCTTATTTGTGATTTAATGTTGTATATATATTTTTTTTCATGGCACTTGCTGGTTTTCTTCATCTGCAGTCCAAAAATTCCCACTGTTCTTTTCCCAACACGATAATTTGTTGGGTAATCAAGAAAACATACCATTACACAGTTGGTCTGAACCAAGTTTATTAATTATGCCAAAACACGTCAAATGTGTATGTTTTAGTGAATAAAATAGGTTAATCTTATAAATGTATTATCATTGGAGCATATTGGGTTTTATCCCAGTGTGAACATCAACATCGGGACACAAGTGCATTCGCAATAGCCTAAGATGTGCGTCTTGCATTCCACTGCAAGTCACAATTTTTTATTGTGAAAAACTTGTGGCATAATAGGGTTATCGATACATTTGTCGTCCAACGCAAATTTGTCGATAATGCTTGATTAAGATTCAGTTCTAAATGTCGACTTTAGTATTGTTCAAACCCATAATAAAGATATAAACGGAATTGTTAGTTTAATGTTCCAATCACCAAGATATGAGAATTATAAGTTTTCTTTGACTAATTAGTAATTTATGATTGCTGTTGCGATCTTAGCTAAGACAGCCCCTTCAAATACAGTAGACTGTGTTAGTGGTTACTTGATCAACCATGACATGCATCCAGTAAACGATTCCATTCACAGTCTGCACCTATTACGTTAGTCTTCAGTATGTTTGATCTCCAGATAATCCAATTAGAACTAAACATCGAAACCAGATAGTGATATGACGGAATAAAAAAGTGACTGACTGACTTGTTCAGTATGACAATTGTATTCCCTATATCATTTCAAATAAACTATATTAGTGTATGTTTTTACAGTAATCCTATATATTTCCTCCTATATATGTTTTTATAAAGTGCGTAAAAATTAGTATATAAATAATTGTGTCTCAGTTTAATGACTGTGAATTTGGACCTGACATTGGGACTTGGTTGGGGAAGTGTTTTTGAGGAGTCAATAAATTTTCTTCCCAATAGTCTTTTATTTTCTCACTTCGTCTTATGGGAATTGCAGTGGTTTCCCGATTGTTAAGTATGGTCAATAAGACCGCAAACCCTACATAGTCGAAACTTACATTGGGGGTGGCGCAGATTTAACAGATAGTTTTATTGAAGTGTGTCACCTAAACTTTATCAATCATTTTACAATGAATGCTACTAATTTTTTTTTCGAAAACACTTCGTGTTTGTGAACTATAATCATCTCAAGCATTCGTTGTAGGTACATATTTCAACTGTATGTTCTTAAGTATATTATATGACATAAAAAGTGATTAACTTATATTTATTTTTAAGAAAAGAAACAAAACAATATTCATCTGTTGAAATTTGTATAATTTACAAACATTCCTGTTTATTGACACCTTGATATTGCATCTTAAGCAGAAATGGATAGTGGTTAGCAGTGGAATTCAAGACTTACGTCTTAACCTATTTGTGACTCGTCAACCGGATGTACATACATTCCAGAGGTGTTCACTCTAAGACCGGTACCTAGTATCGTTCACTCCGAACACTATCGAGTTATTCACTGAGTTCAGGTAGTCACTGATTTGTCCAATAGAGTGGATTTTAATTCATTTTTATTGGTTGTTTTAAACTTCCCACTGATGTTTAGGACTATATTTAATCAGTTTCTTAGTAGCAATATCGGGACAATTCTCACAGGATGCACATATGTCAAAAGAGATTGACCGATTACAGTCTTAAACATCATTGAGAAGCTTCAAACAATCGACTCATACGAATTCATGTTACATCGTTTTCCAGTTTCTATTATGTAACAAACCTATTATTTGTTTTTCTATGCTAAACGTCAACCCCACAAAGCTCTACTTTCATATTATGTACATAGTTGTTATCTGCTGTCATATGTTTAACTTTATAAGAGAGAAATAATTTTGGAAATAAGATCAAAATTCTAGCGTGAATAGCCTGGTTAAAACTATCCCACGATTATGTTTGAATATTTTTTTTATTGTAAAAAACGATGAGGTGGTACTTAACTCCATTTTATATGATTTGTAATTTAGCGCTCATTTCGTACGAAATGCTTTCTTCACTGATGTGTATCAATCATTAAGAATATTTAAAATTTCAAGTTGCGTTTGTTGTTATTAGTAAAATTCAGACTATTCATCCAATATAATGCTAACAGTAATCAAAATTATTCAGACGGCTAAATAAATTGATACACATTATTGAAAAATTGTTTCTAACTTGATTGAATAATTGAAGAAAAAACAATAATCCGCTGATATAAGATGAAACCCAACAGGATATTATGTCAATTTAATTGGCTTCACTTTGTAAACATACAAACGTAAGAAAGCAAGTATTTAGAATATAGGATTAAAATGATGTGATGAGGACGAGGTGATAGAAGAATCTAGTGCAATGCAAATATAAACTGTTTTTTCTGTTATCTGACTGACTTCATGCAGGATATGCCAAATTCACCACACAGTTTAGATCAATAACCTTTATTTTTATACGTTAGTTTATTCTGATTACTTTCGCCCCTGTACATCAATATTACCTCAAGCAATTCCAATCGCTTATGTTAGCTAACTATTCAATCGAATATTGCTATATTATTTTAAGTCATTTTTTTCCTGTAAGTTCTCTGTTTATTAATATAATCATTTATCTGCCCTACTTTGAAACTGTAATCATATTCGTGCCACGTCCTATATCTTCTCTGACAGACCGACGTTTTGTTTAATTGATGGGTTGAAATTATTAATGATCAAATTTCTATAGGTCTGTACTGTGTACTTACAATCATTTAGTCTAACTTATCCACAGTGGAATAGTAAGTCGCACAGTATTTGACGTTAACTACTTGCTCATTGTTATTGTTCCTGCCTTTACTAAATAATATGTAAGTGGAAATTACTCTTGGTAATAAATCTTACTTGTTCACTCGTTATCTACATTGTTCACCTTTTCATCTGTCTATATTGATAACGGCATTATTTAGCAAGTATCATTCAGTTGTTTTATGCATTTGTATTGTTAAATTAAATTTCATAAGAAGATAGATAAACATTGATGGTCAAATACTATTGTGTTATAAAAATTAAGTTAACATTTCAAAGGTTGTAAATTTTCATAACATTACTTATTACATCCGATAAAAATTCTTTGTTTTTTCTTTCTTCTTTAGTTTCTGATGTTTCTTTTCCGTTTCTTACGTCTGACCATTATGATGAAACCATAGGTTTATTGTTTGGTTCTTTTTTCTTTTTAATCATTCGCATATTTTTCATGTATTATATACATGTAAATATATACGTTCATTGTTTTAATCACTAAGATATTTCGTGCACTGATTTACTTAAGTTAAATTTCAAATGATAATCGCAGTATAAAATGTACATAAAATTGTGATATAATAGAATAAATGTACATTGCTGAATATTTTTATAAACCTTCTGTTATCTGTTTCTTAAGTGAAAACCTTGTTTAAATTATGCACACACACAAATACAAATAATATTTGTACAGATTGTTTCCATTGTGAAATTTTGTGTATGATTATTTAAATGTTTACAATTGAAACGACTGAATTTCTATTCAAATTGTTCAGAAATTAAATTAACACTTCTTGTACACTGTCTGCTTTTATTGATGGTAAAATAGAAAAGATTCCGATCTTAGTGTAGATATTGAATGTACAATTGATTCATTACTGAGGAGTAGTGATCAGTGTCATTTTAATTTAATCTTTTAATGCTGATTAAGTTTTAATGACCAAGCTGCAGCTGCCACTAGTCTAAGTGACACAACATCACCTGTACTATGTTCAAATGTTAGGTGGTTGAAGTTAGTCGACAACATTGAAATCCCACAAGAAGCACCAGTTCTCTCAAAGCTAACAGGTACACTTTGCTAATGAGTATTGACTACCACGAAACCCCAGGCCAAGGGTATACTGTCAACTGCCTCTAACCACTTAACAAATATTGACTACTGAATATCAATTTCTGCAAAACTTTATAAGGATGGACTGTATGTCTAACATCCTTATTTGATTATTTTCGATAACTAATTGGCGTAAAACACATTATTATTACTCGGTGTTGTTGAGATTCTTTCCATCTTTACTTTTCACTCTAGTATTAGTCTATAAAACACTTCAGATGTTTGATTAGATTTTGGTTAGGCAAATTTTCGGGCATTAGTAACTGTGTTAACAAATGAGTCTTATACTGTATCGCTTATGTTAGCTAACTATTCAATCGAATATTGCTATATTATTTTAAGTCATTTTTTCCTGTAAGTTCTCTGTTTATTAATATAATCATTGATCTGCCTTAGTACTAACCTAAATCTTTACTTCACTATTTGTAATCATTCTTAATCCCCTGTCATGTTTATTTTCAAGACTGAATTAATCATTCTGTCTTTTTTGAACGTATAAAATCCTTGAATGCATGTCTTGATACAATCAAAGTTTTTAACAGTTGGTTAACAATGTAGATAGTAACCACTAGTAATTAAGATCTAGAATAAAGGTGACGTTCTATTTATGTCTAATAACTTGTATTTAAATTATTAAATTAGTCTTGAACAAAAATTTCTGTCTATGAAATGAATAAATAAAATTAAACGGCTAGACTATAATTTATGGATGAGCCAATCAGATTTAGTATTACTTACTTACGCCTGATACTCCTCATGGAACATAGGCCGCCGACCAGCATTCTCCAATCCACTCTGTCATGGGCCTTCTTTTCTAGTTCCATCCAATTGTTGTTTATTTTTTTCATGTCTATCTCCATTTCCCGGCGTAATGTGTTCTTTGGTCTTCTTGTTTTCCTTTGGCCTTGATGATTCCATGTGAGGGGTTGTCTTGTGACGCAGTTGGGTATCAGGTTTTAAATATTGGCGCGAAATTCATCCACCCATTTGGTTAAATAGCGTTTCAGCATTTTAGCTAATGTCAGTTTGTGATATAAACCATAAATCGAATTCCTAACTTTAACCATCAACTATAAATCACAATCCTAATTCTTCACACTGATTTATAGCCCTCATTTAGTTTCAAGGTCACTTTAGCATCACTCAAAGGTCGCCCATAAATTATAATCTCACCAATTAAACATTGACAGACCTAATACACCTTACGTAAAAAGATTGAACTATAGCAACAAAATAAAACCGTCAAATAACAAAGGAATTTAACATATACCAATAAATTGTACAAAAATGAAATAAGATTATTAGTTCAATGGAAATGATAAAAAAACGCATGCAAATGTTCTATTTCAATTTATCATATGTTTTAAAGCATTTTTTTTAAAATTAAAGAAAACTAACTTTTTACGATTATAAAAAATTTTTTTCTCAGCGTGTTTTAGTTGATTTTGAAAAATCACCGTTTATATTATCGATTTAATCAGATGACTTAACTTACCAAAAAGCATTTAATTGACTCAGAAATAATAAAAAAATACAGTTTATGTTTACCCCTTTGTTTCATATATTATAGACTCTTTAGTTTTGTTTTTTCTTTTGAAAAAAAATTGGTTTTTCTTTTATTCATCTTTAATTTGATCTACTGTTATTGATTTATGGTGTTGATGAGAGAAAATTATATTTTGTTTGATAGAATAGAAAGTAGAACCTTTCTCTCTTTGTCCGTGTATGTATGTGTATAACATCATCATAGAGAAAATGACAGATACGGTGGATAATTCTATCAGTACCAATAGCTATCATTTATTCATATTATTTTTGATTTAATGTAACAGTAAAGAGTTATTGTCGAAAAGAACTAGTCATTAGTTTAATAGTTGAGTTCATGAATCATATGAAGCAAGACCATCATGAAAAACCTGGAAGCACTGAACGGCCGTTTCTTCCTAGTGTGGGACTGGGCAGTGCGCATCCACTATCCCACCCCGCTAGATTCGAACCCAGGACTCATTAATTGCGAGTACGTCTTATATTACAATATGAATGGTTTTATCAACCGTGTTAAGGTATGGAATTAAAAGAATGATGGCAAATAGTTGTATTGACCTTGAACTTATTTAAGCTTGTGAATGGAGAATAAGCTTTATTCTAGGTTGACCTGTATAACCTTGAATTGTATTGATTCATATCAAGGAATTCTTGTTGATGCAAAGTTAAAAAATTCCGATATTATGTATTTGTTTATCAACCTACATAATTGAGCTTCAGTCGGTTAACAAAAAGGTTTTTTTAAATCAGATACTAAATAAAATTACAAATAACCATAAGTTACCACTTGTTAGCTACTCGATATACTGCTTAAGTTTTTTGTCAACGTTGTGTCGTTCATTTCCCCGTGTTTTCATGTTACATATTCCCCATATTTGTTAACCAATTTGTGAATGCGATTGTGTGTTTTATAAGCAACATAAACACATATGCAGATAACAATAACGAGATGAAATTAAGAAAAATGTCAAAGTGATAGAATTAGTAACAGTTTCAGTAGTTATTGAAAATATTAGATATAGATCACGTGATTTGAGAAGAAAGTATTAATTTGTGGAATAAAAATTCTAAGATAATTTTGAACTAATGATCTGAGGGAAGACAACTAGTGAATACACCTGTATCACTCCAAGCGATTATGAGCCGTGTTACCTAAAGTCTTCAACTATTAGTAACGACAGTCTAGAGGATCTAGCAGTTTTGATTTACCTACACAGCTCGGTCCAGTAGCCTATATCCGAATGGATTGATGCCACGTCTTCGGTAAATTTATAAGACCAAGAACTATGGATAGTGTTAGTAAGTATTGGTGAAACCACCAAACTATTATCACAATACGGTAAAGATACAATCCAATGAACGTAATATAACCACATATAAGTCTGTAATGCTGAGCATACTATGTAAGTGATTATCGATATGACCGAATTATTGACAATGTAATTGGTGTACTGCCTTACATTGAAATATAACTCTAACGTATGGTATATTAAAACAGAACATTTACATACGTCTTTTTATCATTTCAACTGAAATAATAAGTTTATTTACTTTCTGTACAATTCTTTTTTATATGTTCAATCCCTTCATCCTTCGACAATTTTACCGTGTTATTTTATTGTTTTTACATAATGTGTGTTCAGTGTTGAGGACACTGTCTTCATTTTTGTACGGTATCATTATCACTTAACTTTCTACCCTGAAAAGTTGGTAAACGCGGGAGAGAAACTCTATGACCTATGTTTATGTTGATACGTCTTACTGATTACGGAATGTAAATGAGCTGATAAAATTACGGATATTTCTTAGTGTTATCAAGACGTCAATAATATGTCTAGGTACTAAACACATACTATATAGAAAATGTTGAACATTAAAGGAAATTCACCATCAGGAAAGAATACATTTTGCCATTCCGTTTCAATTAATTTTTTTTGTGACTGAAATATATTATATAATTTTTCAGTAGTAATGAATGTAGACTATCCTGATTTATCTTTTGAATACATGTAAATCAAACTGAAATGGTTGTCTGTCGCTTCTAGATTTTTGTTACTCTCTCAACTCTTCAGGCAGTATTAATTCAAAACAAAAGTTTATCAGGGTACAAAAAATATACAAACTACTGAAGAGCAGAAAAGTTACCATGAAGTAATTGTCACTTCGTAGTACATTCTAGCAAGCTGTTATGTATTTTGGCAAATTGATGTGAAAAGCCATATGTATATTTAGATTTACATGAAAAAAAAAACTTCTAGTTTATTTGCCAAATTTTATATTCAATATAAACATATTTCTGCAACTAAATTTACCAGTGTTATTAATCAAGTGGTTGATAGGAGATTGCGATAGCTTGGCGGAAGGTTGACCAATTGAAAATCAAGAAGGACTGGAAGTTTGTTTTGTCATATTTAAAAACTCCATGCTATCTTGTAACGTTCTAACAATTGTACTCAACCACTAAATATATATATAGTATTTGTCGTCGGTTTCGTGAATGGGTTCTAACTTATTAAGTGTAAACATTTTGAAGTGGAATGTTTTAACAGTACTGAATTTGCGCTAAGAAACACTACATCTTGGACCGATTTTTGTTTATCATCTATTGAGAAGCGAAAATCACTGAACAGTCGTTTTGTGCTAGTATGAAAATACTTTACCGGAGCATAATTTCAAACTTAGCGATTTCTAGTTTGTTTTAATTTTATAAGATTTATAAACTAGATGTTATTGTTCTGTAAACTAACTTTGGAATAGAAAATTGACTAATATTTAAAAACTAATCAACAATAGATAGTATTGAACAGATAGTCTAGACCATGAAGTTATAGTTCAAAGAAATTGTAGATTTGCCCATTTTATATATAATGCTGAATTTAATACCTGTACATTTCGCTCATTTCTTCTTCTACTATAATATTGATTTTTTACCAGTTAATTTCTTATTGATCAGTTCGTACCGCTATCTAGAAATACGGATGTTTTTCCGTTTGGTTTTCCTATTTGTATTTAAATAAAACTTTTATATATGCATAAAATTGTAAGCACATTATATATATTTTTCAACTATTAAATATATTTTCTACAGATGTTGGAACAATTAGCATTTAATTTGAACTCTCATTATGCTGAGTTTTTACGTTCTCCTGAAGGAATTCACTTTTCTGGCAAAGTTTGTATAGTTGCTGACAGTGTTGGTTCAATTTTGGCTCATGATCTTTTAACAAAACCTACTAATCATGAGTCAGTATCGAATAATAATGATACAAGTATGACAGATATTGGATTAATGCGTCGTAAACAATTTGGTATTCATAGTTTAATACAGTCGGATAAACAAATCAAAACCCCAACTTTAATAAACAGCCCCAGTGAAGTCACTTTATGCCCAGTAAGTTTTTCTAGGTGAGTATTGTTCAAATAGGTAATTCAGAAATAATGGGGTATTTTCTCATAAATACACCGGCTTTTTGTTTTTAACGATAGACATGGTCATCTTTCGTACATGTGTATGGTTTGATGATCCTTTTATCTTCATGGGATTAGTTCCTTTATCGAATTTGAATCAAGTGGGAATAACAGACAATTGAAACAGAATATCATATGAGGTCATCGTATTTCGTTAATTTTCTCATGGTTTTTTGTACAGATTAGTTCATTTTAAAAGATAATATAATATTGGAAAATCGACAATGATGACTTTCAGTAGCTAAAATGACATACTTGTTAAATGGCATAATACGGAAATAACTCAAGGCTTGAAAATCAATCAAATGGATTGTGTAACAATTAATGAAAATGGAAATACACAGATTATAAAAATTGGATCTGGGCTTATCGCGCAAATCGCTTTTGAGGTAAATGAGGTAACAAATAATCAGTGAAAGGTGACTAATTTTTACACACTGGCTAATGTTAAACGGTTTTAGAAAGTTTATAACATTGGATGATGATCGTGTCATACTGTAAATCGACTGAAATTCTAGAAGCGTTGGCCTTCGAATACGTCTACTCAAGTGATCTTATGATGCAGTACTCGGTCCGTAACCTGGTTATTCTTGTTTTGATACTTAGTGGTGTCGTGTTCGCCCATTGGAAAATTATAATTGATTTAAGTGAAACAGTTCTGTAGTGCTTCTTGGTTAATAATGGTGATTTTCGAATTGAACAATTTTTAAGAACCTATTTAAACATATATTCATTTTTGATCGTTTTTATATGTAAACTTAAATATTTATATTTTTATATTATTGGTTAATTTAAAATTTTTATCTAGAGACCGGTGTTCTGTATCAATCAATATGCACGTAATTTGATGATACGTTTCCAATACATAGTGCATACTTGTTAAAAGTATCAATTCTGTAATCTCTGTACTCGATTCTTAACTATTAGGTTCAATGTTCAAACAGTTCACTAACTTTTTTTTAATTCTAAATTTATTTGTTTCATATTCCTGCATGCAAGCACGTTAAGAATTTAGCTATGAAGTTTATTTTTGAAGAACATCTTTCAATCTGTACATTGTTACACAAATATAAAGTTTTATCAGTGTTTAAAAATAGAAGCTTTATCAGAAGGGGATTTAGTAATTTTCTCTGAAAATGTTCCCAAGTTGTATGCTATTCAAAAATTGGATGTAAAATTCGTTTTTTTTAATTGTAAATAAGCGATTACGTTATTTCTTTTTTGTCTATATTAAAAATGTATGTTACTGGTGAAACAACCATTCGAAATTTCAAAGTCGATAAAATCAAAGAGAGTGAAACGAAATAATATGAAAAAGCAGTGCTATCTAATGAAAACAAGTTCACGCCTGAGTGAAGACGGAATTCTATGACATTTTATCTCTATTCACTGCCCACTCATTATATTATAAATTACCAATTATTTATATTTTCAAGAGTGAGAAATAAAGTTTTTGAAAGACTTCGAGAAATGTCTATTAAAAAACAATCTAAACTCCAAGAGCATTAGGTTTAATTGAATAGTTCTATTCAGTTGGATGGTCAAGGGAAAATATCCTTCCACTTCTTGTCTGACTCTTGAAAAAGCAGGCTGAAATTTACTGTTGTATACATTTTTAAGTTTAATGCTTTCCATGTTAATGGTGAGTAGTAATGAAAAGCATTTTCGTAGCATTCAGTAAATAGGTCTGTTACTTATTCTCTTTCAATGTAAGAACCCCTATAAAAAGTGATCCAAACTCCGTACTATTAGTTGTGCACTCTGTAGACACTATATTCTTATCAAGGAAATAGCTACGGTTGTTTTCAGTAGACGTTTCTTTTGAAATACTTATCCCTTCAACTGATTGTGTTCTCCAAATAACCTTTTTGGATAAAGTTAAATGTGGAAAAAATTCGTCATTTTCTCGATAGGGATTCATCTAGAATATTCATATTTTTGAGATCCATCAATGTGTATGGTCAAAAGCATGCTAAGAAGCAAAATGGACGATTTCGATTCCTTCGCCAGCATTAATTTCCGTATCTCAGTTTGTCACAATCGTGAATAATTTTTGAACTGAGATCAATTTTCGATACATTGTAACTGACTGATATGGCTTCAACAGTAACCTCATTGTATTTCCGTCCTTTTGTGTATTTCGTTGATAAAATTAAGTTGCATATGAGAAGTATGTTTCAGTAGGAGTTCCTTTAGGTTGACATTTGTATATTATCCGTTCATATTATGCGAGTCTGAAATGAACAGTCATATCATGTAGTTGCATGCTTGTGTAGTAAATGTATTTTTTAGTTTTATAACATAATACTGCAATTATAACCAGAGATATATAGTGGCCAGCAGTGGAATCCAGGACGGCTATCTGGACTCAGTAGCTAAATTGATAACACGATGTCGTTTGAAGCATAAGGTACTGGGTTCTAGTGCAGGAGTGAAGGTCAACTCTGGGTTGCGGGTACATCCAGCTGACGAGTGGCAAACAAAATGAAACGCACGTCTTTGATTCCACTGTTAGCCACCATCCATCTCTTATAATGCTTGTGACTTGAGACAATATCGAGGCAATCCGCACAGGATGCACATATGCCAATAAGAGAATGGTCAATTGCAGTCCTAAACATCAATAAGAAGGTTTAAAGAACTAATACAAAAACGAACTAATGCTGAAATTTCTTGTATATTTCACATACTATTGTATTCTACAAACCAAAATACATCCCAGTAATTTGGTCAGGTTTCTCATAACTGGTATTGTAACCAAGTAAATAAATAATTAATTTAAACTGAACTGTATTTCTCGGTTGACAGTATGTAGTTTACTTGTAATTGTGTTTTTTTCTATATATTTCCATAGCCTGAATCAAATACTAGTCTAGGAAACGTTGAATTGTCCAACCTTGAAAATGAAGAATCTAAATCACATAGTCGAATGTCTTCTTTAGACTTTCAAGTATGTTGTTATTACTTTTTCATTGTTAGTAAACTTGCCTTTTGACTATTCTTATCTTCATCAATCAATCAACTTATAATAGCAATTTGATCTTTACAGTTATTGACATTAGACAATTTATTAGAAAAATGGAATATCATGTGGTTTTTGTTTTGATTCTATTAAAATATCTTTTATCGAATTTACGAAACATTTCAAAGTTATTTAAAATTTTCAATTGGAACGTTTTTCTAGTCATCTACAACGCAGAACCAAGCACATTTATTCATCGGTTCAAGTTGCCATACCTCACTAACACAACAAGATAAACACCAAATTCATAGAAGCAGTTACTTCAGTGGTAGTAATTTATTTAAAAAAAGGTTGTATATAAAAATATGATACGGGGAGAAAGCATTGGTTCTTAGAAGGTTGTAAAGTCATTTTAATCTCACGGTTTAAGGGAAAATAAATAGTGTGTGATGATCAATTTTGCTTGCGTTGTTTATTAACAGAAGTGATAATTATAATCATATTGTTTGATTAACTTATTCAACGATCTTTTATTTTGAATTGTGTAAGTGCTGCGTTTACACGAAATAATTGTAATATACATAGTTAATATTTGTTGACCTTAATGTTTGTGTGTATTATAAAAATGGAATACTCTCTACAAACCAGGTAAAGCGTAGTTAGAGTTTTGAAAATTCTTTTAACAGTTCTTTCCATTTGTTTCATTTAAATGGCGAACTATGAATTTCTTCTGGTTTCGTGAATTCCAGCTATCAAAAACCATAAATAATAATTAATGTTGTTATCGTATATAATTCAAAATTGATGATAGCCATATTGTTATATTTTTGTTTTTATGGAACTTCATGCCTAATGTCAATATTGTTTGTATAGTAGTTGCATCTTTTATAAGCAAGATTTTACAAAGATATATACTGTACATTTGTCCACGAAGTACTAGAATGTACAGTCACGCAGTTTATCCATTCAACCTCAATTTAGCTTCTGAATATCATTTTCAAAAGTTAATGGTATAAATGTTTAATGAAAATATGTTCCCAGTCAAATTTAAGATATTCTAAAGAAACAGAGTATTTCTTTTTTAAACTTAAACTGTAAAATAGTAATTTATTGTATTCGTGATGCACTTGGAAACCTTTTTTATCTCAATACATGTCTTATGACTTACAGATTTTATCGTACATTTGTTTTTTAAACATTTTATAATGTTTGTCATATAACGTAAAACAAGCGAAAATAATCTGGATTGTTTTTCTGCAAACTGTTAACTTAGAGCTTGAGGCACTCGACTTTCAACTACTAAGTTTTAGGTTGAAATCCCAGATTACCTGTCTTTTGTATAAACATCCAGTTAGTATTTTTAGCTCTCAGATAATCAGTATGATGCATATCTAAGTATATTAAAGTATATTGGGTGATTTAGTTGAACATTCAACGTCTTTGCAGTTCCCTTGGTTAATTTTCTGTTTTAATGTTGTTAGTTGACCGATAACCACGTTATTTAATTTTATGGTTTGTTTTAATTACTTGTTGACCTAAATCTGCCAGGCTCTGTTCGATATTGTATTGATATTTTTAATGTTAATATGGATATTGAAATTCATGATTATTTATTTATTGTTTATAGAATGGAAAGTAGTGACATACACTAAAATTGTAAATCACCAAAATGCATTGAATTTTCATATTATAGTCTTTATGAGGACAGCCTATTAACATGTGTTGATCACTAACAGTAGTATTTAACTCTAATCATATGTTCATGTATATGCGAATGCTGAAATGATAACTTCTAGGTAGATCATAAAAACACACTGTTTTCAAAAAAAACTTGACTAAACAGTTTATTATTTTTATTTTATCTGATTTTTACTTGAAATACATTTGAAATTACTATGCTTAAATTTATATTTAATTTGAGGAAATAATTTCTTATGTAGTTAAAAGTCAGAATGTATGAAGAAGAAACCAGTTACTATCATGTTCTATGTTATGTAGGGTGAAGATTTCGTTATGACTTAAAATGATTCGAAAAACTATTGAATATCAACATACTGCTGTTTTGTCCTACCATAGATATCTTCAGCTGTGTACACGCACAACTATCTAGTCTAAATATACCTTACTTACCACAATATTTGAAGATCTTGGAGTTTATTTCAGTTTGGTTCGAGAGTGCTCACTACTACATGGTTTTACGTGATGTTTCACACGATATTACTTCGTAACGAAAAGATATCTACAAGATATTCAATAGTCCTGTATAAAACTCCCAGTTTACCCATACCATTATCATTATCTCAACATAATTGCTGCATATTTCTAACCTTAAAATTATTTTCAATAAATCATGATCATTAAGTATAATATTATTCACTTGAGTAGTGCCTGTAAATTTGTTTTGTATGCTCATATCTGCTTTAATGCTACATAGTTACGTTTTGTTTTATTTGCCTCGTCAAGCATTAACGTTTACACAATTATATCTTGGTTCTCCGTTATATAAAATGGAGTAATATCATGTATTGATATTATATGATGTTTTTTCATAACATTTCAATAAATTGTTTAGAATGCATCAATCCATTAATAATTGCATAAATGTAAACATATGTATTACGGAATTATTTTCTTTTTCAACCTTGTTAATACTATTTACACATTAATTATACAATTTATTTTGTTTATGCGTTTTCATCCTAATTTTCTTCAATCATTCAATACATATTTGAAATGAATTAAAAAGGTACAAAATTTTTTCATGTTGGGTTCACCAATTGGTTTAATTTTGGCTTATCGTTATCAACAAAATCAATTAACATCGTCTATTGTATCATCTAATAAAACAAATCAGCTAATTACTAATTCATCTTATAATATGGTTTATCATTTATCAAAAGGTAGGTTATTTCATTTAGAAATTCATAAATAACTTAACAATTTTTTTTATTATTTACAAATTGACCGTTTGCTGTTGTTAATTCATATGTCTTTTCTCTTTAAAAAAAATGTTCATAAAGTATCCTATTTCTATGTGACTTTAAAAATTGATTATCACGTGAAGCGGAAAGAAAATCAATAATCAAAAAGAAATGATAAAAACACATATGTAATGAACAAAAACTTAGATACAAAATTATAAAGTGATTTCATGAAAAAAGCTATACATCAAATATATTTATATATTTGCACATCTTCAATTGTACTGTACGTGCTTCATGATTCTTTCAATCTTGTTGTAATTACAATTGCTCTTTATTTCTCTTCTTGTTCTTTTCAACTGAATCTTCTACTCACAGGCATTCTACATCTGATTAGTGCCACATACTACGTATATCGATCAACATAAGTAGCAAACACCTGATGTATACATTGCTAAATTGTCTAAATTTAATTAATATACAAATTTGTGTGTAGATTTACAAAATTGTTTTTTATGCTGTTCAGTTTCTTGTTAAGTTTTTACATGATATTTTGTCAAATTTCAATGTTTGGTTAAACGACGTTGATCATCAACTGAGCTGATCAAATTTAAAAGAATAACTATTAAATTAAATAACATGACGTTCTAGGCATTATTTACATGATCGACTATACATCTATGGAGTGAGTATCAGGTTGTGAAGTTTGTTGAATTTCATTTAACTCGTGAACCGATCATTGTTAGATCACCATTAAAAACGTAGAAAAACTGATAAGCCGTTTCGTTCTAGTATCGAACTCTTTAGCAATGTGCGTCCACAATCCTGCACCTGGGACTCAAACCCAATACCTTCTGTCTTGCGCGAACGCCTCACTTGCAGACCATTGAGCCGACACCCAACAGTGTTGAAATCTGCTCAGTTATTTTCTTTTGAACTATGTAAGTGATTGAATAAAATCCCCTCAAATCAACTGTGTAAGCTAGGTAGAATAAAAACTATATTAGAGCTTCTCAGTAAGGTTTCATCTAGTTTTACCTTCCTCGAATAGAGTTTAACTTTAACATTGATACTCTCTTTTGTCTATGTAAAGATGATCAGTTTACAGAGGTAAATTACAACTCTTGTAGGTTTTATAACAACTTTCTCTTATCCAAATCAACCAGTATATATTTCTGATGTGCGTCCATGCAAACCAGCAAAATAGTTGTCTGAATTTGCCAAAGCACTTTAAATTGCCTAGGCTCCATTGTTTATTGTTTTGACTGTTTTCAACTGCCTAGGTTCCAATGGAGCTAGAAGAATATTGGTTGTAGTTTTGTGTAATATTTTTGATGATCTATTTCTTATTCAGTATTTAATTACGCTTTTAAAGTTGGACTATAGATTCAAACATGGTTATGCTTGTCGCATTTAAACACGAGATTGAAATTATTGAGCTTGGAAATCCAGTGAATTGACTTCACTTGGATACCTGTTTTTATAATCTTATATTAATTATCCCATTCTGATACGAATTTTTGAGATGGCTTCAATGTCGGTCACTACCTCTTGATCTTCGTAGAAAAGGTTTTTGTCGAAATTTGTTTGATATGATTTCGTTTTTGACTTTATAACCATAATCTTCTAGGGGATACTAAGTTACTTGCTAAAGAATAACGTCAATTAAGGACTGGTAGTTATTTCACTTTTCTATTACTTTGCGGTTTTCTGTTTCAGTCAGTATAATACATCATTATTTGAATCATGTGAGCCATTGCACAGTAGCAAGACCAAACACTAAGTCCATTATTTTTGCATGGAGTTATAACACGAAACGATTTTCTGTCCAATGCACTATACATAGAACAAACGTAGCTAATAAATTTTGCAGTTGAAATTAATAATCAATTCGTATTTGCAACAATACACTTCTCGACGATGACTATATGATAAAGCTAATTATGTCTTTCTTATTTTCTTTTTCACAATCATTGGATAGAAATTAAGTTGTCCGTAGGTCAAGCTTATAATCTTTTTCATTTAACTGATCCATGTGGTTTTCGCATTGAACCATTGTTGGATAATCGTTTCAGCTGTATATCCCCAATATTCATTCCCCAATATGTTCGTTATCCACTTGGAGATGGACAGTCAACAAATCTAATTGAAACTCTTATACAGCAGGCTGAATTATTTTCTGCAAATCTTTCAGAAAAATCATGCAATTTATCCGATAGTGATAATTCTACGATTAATGAAAATAATGATAGTACTGTAAATGTAAAACGACAATTAACAAATCAACAGTTAAATTGGGAAAAAAAGTCTATTGTTGCACTTGAAGCATTGAAAAAAGGTTTGTTTTCTCACGTAAAACATCTGAAATTTTTTGTTCATATATGTAACGTACTGAATATACTTTGTAGTAGTACTAATATTGTTGCAAAATTATTTTTTTGAATAAAATATCTCATTGGGTTTTTTTGAAAGATCAGTAACTTGCTTTCTTACTTGCTGTAGTTAAACTGGATATTTTGAAGCTGAGAGCGCTATAACTATCTAGACATCACAATACTGAACGTAATCAAAAAAACACTGTAACAGTGATAATGTTATTGTCCAAAATACCAAAATCCAACTTGATGCAACACAAAATGTTAAAATATGCAATCACCATTAACTAGTTTACTAATGAAGATTCATAGTACTTTTTGTATTACTCGCCACCTCGCAGCACGATAGTCTTGATCAATCATCAAAAACTTGCTGCCCAACCAACATTATTTCAACGGTGCCAAATGACATAACATTCTTCAACAAAATGAGCTACCAAGATCTTTCTCAATACATTAGCACGTGTCATGTTGTATAAGATAGTTTGCATCTTAATTAGGGGTAGTACTGTAGAAATCTTACCGTATGTTTGGGTATTCTGGCTGTCTTCTTGATGATCATGATTAACACAAATAATGCCATAAAAAATTTTAATATCCTCGAATTTACGGTTGATTTCAAGAGAATATACACTTTTAAAGCCACAGCTATGGCAACTGGCAAATCACAGTTATGAGCTCTGAATTCTTTGACAATTGATACACTGCCTTGATCTTTATGTCAATTCGTAAGAGGGTTAATGACATTTTGCTAATGAAGCCTTGATAATGCTATATATGAGTAGATTGATTTATAGATGTTCATTTGCATACCTAGGAAAGCATAAAAATTGTCCATTCTTAGTTGTAGACGATTGTTCAAATGGTGTGAAGCATTGGTTGATAGCTGCACTAGTTATTCATAATACTGACATGAATTCTTTTATCTTATGTGCAGTCATAACACGAAATAAATTACTATCAAATGCACTATTGTTTTCTAAAACTTTGTGTTAGATAATTTCAACTAGTCGACAAATAGATTTTCTGAAGTAGTTCAGCATACAGTAGGTCATGATAGTCCAGCTCTCCATAGTAAGACATCTAGTAATAGGTTAGGGAATTGGGATCAAAGTGAACCGAATATGAAATGGACAAAACAAGTGTGTATGATCTGAGTATTTTAAATCTTTTGAATATGGAGATCAGGATGTTGATAGGATGCAATATCCCATAGTCACAGTCGTAAAGCAAACATTCGGCGATTAGACGGGTGTATGCTATATTAGGTGATCGTTGAACCAGAGCTTATCATCATTGCTCTTGAATATGTATTCAAATCAAACAGGACAACTAGTTTACTCATTGTAATCTGTTAAGTTAGACCGACGTATATTGTAATCAGATGTTCAGAAAGTATATAATTAGTTTTCAATAAATTTGTAAGTATTTTACATCAGCAGTTTTAATCTTGAATTATCATTATAAAGATCAATCTTCCTAATTATTTATGAATTTCAAATAAATATTCGACTACCTTTCTATTTCGAATTTTGCAAACTGTTAGTCACTAATAAATAACATTAAGCATGGTATTAATGTTCGATGGTCTAAAATACCATATTTGAAACCATTACATAGAGAGAATATCAGCAAGACGAAAAATCAGATTGTTAATTTGACGTAGTAAAAAAACTAGGATCAATTTTGAGATGGTAAAGTCAGATAGATACAGTTAATGACATTCAATAATAATGCCTATTTTTAGTGTACAGTTAATAATTGTTCTAACATTTAAAGTAGGTCAGTGTTTGATAAAATAACCAAAAACATATGTATTACTGAAGGATAAAATAATCAATAATTAATTACCATTTTATAATTAAAAAAAGCTGTATGATGAACTAATGATTGTTGAAATTTATTCAGGTTAAAACCATTCATTGTTCTTTCCTTGCCTAAGGGTAATACATGATTATTGCAATGTTTTTTTAAAGAAAATAAAAACGTTATGGTTACTAGTTCAAATTCTTGTGAGTTTGATGAGTTCAAATTTCATTTTAAAACGTCAGTAACATACAATCAGTAATGCTAAATTTTCTAATTTTGTACGGTTTTTGATCGCTATAGGCTAAATGCTATCAAAATGAGACATATATGAACCTTGTATGATACTTATGCAACGTATCGGATGTGAAAGAGAAGGGTCATCTGTTAAGTACTCATGCAATACTTTTTCAAGTGTAAACAATAAATTCGAGTTGACTAATATAGTTTAATCTTACACAAAGTAATTTCATAACGATGACTTGTATTTCGGCAAAGATTTTGCTAAACACATCTCCGCTATCTAAAAAGCATTTCAGAAACAGTGTTTTTTTCATTGATTTGTCTCCTAGTGCCTTTACATTAAAAATAGAATTTTACTTTGTATATTATCAAACTGGGCTACAATTAAATTACTCGTTTAAGTTGTTAGTTATAGGCTTTTTCATTATCTACACTTAAAATACTTCTATATATCTGGTTTCCACATTAGTTTGGCATATGATTCGCTCATTAGTTTATCGCCCCATGCCTATCGAAATTGCTTTTGTTTAAGGTTTCAGTTATGAGTATCGCTCTTTGTACTGCAATATGAAACGAAACTTTGTATGAGACAGATTAGTAACATGATGATAATGCTTTCACTCATTTGTAAAATTAAATTACGCAATGCTGAAGTCAGCGGAGTTAAAATGTCTTAGTTTACTACTTATTCGTCTTAAACAAGTATCTTTCTTTTACCCGTAACTTTTTAAGCACTTGCTTTCTTTTTTTCTAGTTCAACAGTCATGGTGGGGACCTAAAAGAGTTGATTACAATGTTCATTGTCCAGAAGCAATGCAAAATATTTTAGCTCGTGCACGTCCTTCAATTTTGCATGCAAGCTACTGGGAATCAAAAGATGTAGCATCTTTTATTATACGACAGGTTAGTGTGTTCAATTGATACCTAGAACTTAAAGTATGATCTCAAACGATAACCTTTTTGTACATCAATTGATGTCAAACAGTGGATTGTTAAATTGAATTGAGTTTACGCTTAATCCGTATTTATCATTCTTCAATATTAAACTACAGTAAAATTTAGATAAGATTACCCGCATGTTTGAAGCACGCGAAATAGCTAAATATTTTAAGATCGATCATTATACTACCGTTTTGTGGTTGTGTTATGTCCTCTGAACTAGGCAATTTAATTTCAAGTTTCATTATTGATCTGGACAACAACATTCACACTTACTTCACATAGAAGTGAGTTGTTTAGTCACTCGACGATGCATTTGGTTATCAATATTCTTTTTTTACATTTTTGTTTCGAACTTTCATCTCACCAATGAACAATTTAATAATACTATCCTAATATTACTGCGTTTTGTGCTTGTATGTTTTGTTGTTTAGATGTCATTTAGACATTAAAAAAAATTATTTTCATTTTCGGCACTGTCATTACTGAGCTTTTTTTATTAAATTCCGATTCCTTCTTGCAGGTATTATGCACTTAGACTATCATTGGCTAATTATAATGTTGCTGTTCCGACGTCTCTGTTTTTGTTGTTTCTTCTCTAGTTGTGGATAATTAGAATTACTCTTTAAGGGTAGTTGAATCACTTCTCCATATAGTATGCATACTTCATTAGGATATCTCAGTTATCCTACTCAGCCTACTTCTGCCTCACATGACTCTAATCCTTGTGATAAGTGTTCTCTCAAAATAACCTATGAACAACATATTATAAAACGTTTTATCCTTAAATATCTATGCTTTACATGTTGTTTTTTGTATCAACCTCACCATGCCTTTAAATTGACATCAATTTTGTAGCTATTTCTAGAATATAATTTGAAAATGTGGGTCATTTTTCCCAGTGATAAATCCATTATGTTCTCTGGAGCTAAATCCCAGGTCCGAAGCCCAAACCAGCTACTTCATTTCGTTCAGCCGGGTTGTATCCGTAGCTCATGTTTAACTACCTTGTAAATGAACTAATTTTATTATTACATTACATTACGAGATCGGTTATACGACTATTCTCTGAAATGTATCTATGACTTTCTGATAAATAATCTTATCAATTAAAATTTCTTTTCTAATATTTGTTGTGTGTATGTATTTCCAGATCCTAGATACACTGGGACTAAGTGTTCTAGAAACATCATACTCGGCAGATTTGTCTGATGAAATAGCTGTTACGGAACTGGCCAAATTATCATTGAATCCAAATCAGATAAAATCACAAACCTTTGAGGTTATGGATGATTCCAGTATACAAATTTCACAGCAATCAGAAAAAAGTAGTAGCAGTCAATCGAGATTCTCCAACCTCAGTCATACTTTGTCATTTGGACCTCGTAATTTCTTGAAACGAACATCATCTGAACGATTAAAGGTAAAATAATAACAAAAGTTTTCAGTTTTGGTATTCAGTGGATTTTTTTTTAAACTGACTGTTATAGTCGGTCTATTCGATAAACTAAGTCGTTTCACCTTGAATTTCAACTGAATCTTTGTATTTCCAGTTCAGACTGACTTAAATTTTCGCTTGTTAATTTCAGATAAAATAAGCCAATATATTTAACTACTTTACTTCATACTTTAAAATGAAAAGAAGTCGTCTGAATGTATTTTACAAGTAGAAGTTTAGTATTAAGATGAATAATTCAGAAATAATTTCCTTTTCAGAGGAAGAACACGTGAATTTCACATTTTTACTTACTACACTTCATATTGTTTTTATTATCAAATATCCTGTAGTTTTGTTTTATCAGATGACTATTAGCAGTAACGTTTTATTTTTCTAAGCACACATTACTAGATCATATCATTTCAATTTCGGGCTTTGGTTCATGTATGGCAAGTTATCCATCATTAGTTACGTTTTGCTAAACTAATTATTTGCGAAATCATTCTATTTCTTGTTAACCTACAATACATGGATATGTAATATTCAGAATATTGCATTTTTTCTAATGGAAATATACTTTAAGCTGAAAATAGTGACAAAACTTTCAGTGATAACATAAGTTGTAGTCACAACTGATTCTCTGAGTACAAATGAACTTATAACTGATTCTTATTATTTATTATTTCTGTTTGTTTAATATTTCTGCTTTTTATGTTTTGAAAAAATCTCTGTCCATACAAAACATAACTACCAGACTTTTTCTCCATTCACACTCTAATGATAAGTATCTTTTTTTCCATTGACTCGAGTTCTACTCTACTTATTTTGGTTTGGGAATGCGGGTTGTATTACTATCCCTTATACTTAAGGTGTGATTCAAAGCTGAATAAACCAACTTGTATGTGCAAAGGAGCTACATCTAATCGAGTTTTTAAAATTAACTGCTCTCTCATTTTACTTAATAACTACATAATATTATTTTCATGAGAATCGTTTCTTATTTCATTTTAATCACCAATTGTTCTCTTTTGTCTATGTTGATCTTAGTCTGCTTGTATTCCATATCATGTGGTAAGCGGTTCATATAGTTTTATGGGGAGGGTGACGTGGAAGTTCTGTCGTTGAAGTGTGTTATTACTTAACTTTCTCTGTGTTCCCATTCTATCTTTTGCCATATTATTAAAAATTACTGTTGTACACATTTCACCATTGTTATAATAGTTGGTTTCAATTATTTATTGTCGTTAAAGTTTCGTCAAATGTATATATTGCACAATACCATTTGCTTTTTATCTAAGGATATTTTGTTTCGTTTGTTGTCATTGCGTGTCAGTTAAACTAACAAATTATAAAGTTGAATATTAATAAATTCCTAGGGTAATTAATGACAATTTAGGTGATTACTTTGACTATTTATTTTTTATTTTTGCTTTAGACTTACATTCTGAATTATCAAATTTTATCTTAATTTTCGGCACAAGGGGTTTGTTGAGATTGCTGAATATTATTTATTTTTAAAACGACCTAGGTTAGATATGCGTTGAAAAACCACTAGAGAGTTATTTTGTCGTAGTTTAGCACTTATTGACAGTGAGCATCCTTAATCCAACCGGGCGATCACACTCCTGACGTTCGATCTCGTGTCCAAATGTTTAACTTCTAAACCATTGGACTTGTATCCACTAGTGTACATGTTTGACTTTAATTCCAATAAGTAGTGATTCCTTTATAAAATGCATTCATTAATGAATTATGTTAGCAAAGATTTTGTTTTACGTACTGAAATCTAGACAGTTAAATATTTCTAAAAATTTTTATAACTTGCATGCATTTGGTATGATCTGAGTGAATCTCGATATTTTGAAATTGCTTAATTTATAGTGTCTTCAGTTGCTACAGTTAAATAGGTTTTATACATATATTTATCATTTGATTTTCTTGTCTTCGACACAACTTATCGATGATTTTTTAAAGGATAATCTTGAAATAAATATAACTTACTGTTCGCATGTCATCCTATGCTGAAAATGATGTATAATTCATCTTTTACCATGTAATGTAATTGTTGTAAAGTGTAAACTTAATTAACTGCATTTAAAATTTCGGATATGAATTTCCTTGTACAACTTAACTCATAATTCTTGTATCATTTATTGTTGATTCGAAAAATAAACATCATGATTAGTAAAACAAAAAAAAGTGAACCAAACTTGAACTTATTGACTACTTGACCATAGCTTATCTAGTTTGGAGATAAGGCAATAAAATGACAAAAGAAGTTAAGAACAACCATCAATAAGGTTGAAGATCGAACACTATTTTACTATCAAGATTAAAATGAAAATTCAGTCCTTAAAATTTGATAACCTTTGCTAATTTGTGTTATTTTAATTTGTGCTTACTGTCTTGTGTTATGTTAGCTAATTATGATAGAACTTTCAGAGAGACCTCTTTGGTATTCCCAAATATCGAGTTCCGATATAATGTTCAGTGGAAGAAATGTGAAGTTTATCTTTTCATCTTCATAATTTTATTGTAACTTCTTAAATAAAGTTTGCTTATAACATGAAGAGATGAAAATAATTGAATCAACTTCAAGAATAATCAAAACCGTTTGTAAAAAAACTAAAAAGAAATTTTATCAAAACCTACAGAATAATTTGTTTAACTTTTTTAAATCTCAAGCTGAAAAAGATTATCTTTTATCTGCTATCTTCATATTCCACATACTGTCAAAAGTCTGTCTCATTTTGAAATGTTATTAACTAATTATCTAGTCAAATATTCATTTAACAATTTAAATGTTAGTCGGTTTATACTATCAATCAAGTTTATGCTTCATCATCTCTTCAGTTAAATATTTGGAAAATGGCTTATTAAAAGTACTCTACTGCTCGTATATTAATCCAAATCATTCTCTTCTGGATCAATTTGGTCTCTTTATAATGCTTAGTTTTTAATTACTGTTTATATAATTATCTCAATACTTTTGCCTTTCAATAAAGTAAACTTGCCAATTTAAATATTTAATACAGAATCAACTAAACTAAAAAGATTTCTTTTCAGCTAGCTAAATCTATTGCTTAATTTGTGGGCATTATGGATCGTGGTTGGATAACTGTTAATCGCTGGTAACTAAGAGCTAAATACTAGCTCATCTGATTGATGCTAAACATAAGGTTGATACGATGTACAAGAACTAAAGTGAATATAGTCCAACTTTCCGTGCCACTACCATTCTATTCGCCGTATATCTTACTACATTCAATAAAAGTAATCACTACTTATATTATTAAACTGTGTCTTTGGGAATATACAGTTTTTATGCAATTATCGTGATTAATTTTTACCTGAGCTTTCTACTTTAACCAGAACAACTTGAGTCATTTCTATTTTAATTCTGTATCACTTGCATATTTTCTTTTGTCGTGTTGAATTGAGATGTAAGACATTGAGGGAAGTCTACTGGTGATTACTTTATTGTACAAATGAATATTAGATTACACCACTGCTTAGCTTGTCTACTGATTATATGATCTTGTTTTCTGCTATGCACAAAATTGTTAAAACCATGGGATATTCCTAAAAATCTGTGAAATGAATTCATCCGGACACTTCTGTAACATTGAAAACAGTTCATATTAAAGCAATGAATTAATTACATTTCGATGATAGCTGTCATTAAGATCTTGTCAAATCTCCCATTAAATGTAAAAAGTACATTGTAATTATCATTACATAATTTTTTGTGTTTAAGTAATACAATATAAAATTTAAAAAATTGTCTTCAGCCATGGTAAACATGACTTTAATACTATCACTGGGTAATTTAAGCTGACTGAATTATTGACCTTTCTCTAAATCTGTCGTTCCGAATTGTCATGTTAGTAGAACTTTTCTTCCGAAGAAGAAAAAAGCTTGCAACATCTTTAATCCTAATTTTTCTATAGCGTTAATATAGATAATCATAAAAAACGCCTTTTTTCAATTTAGCCATCTACTTGATAGAGACGTATGACTTATTCATATTTATCCTCTTTTCAGAATATAATATCGACTGTTAACCAAGTATTATATATTGGTCTTTTTATATCTTATAAAGTTCGAACTAAATTGAGAGAGTTTTGTGCATTTAATTTTGAATGTTTTTAGTTTGTTGACTTGTAGGACATACATATTATTCTTGTTATTCGTTTTCGGGATTATTTAATAGTTTTCTCGTTCTTTTCCCTGTAATGAGAGACTTCACCACTGAGCTCGTTCATACGATGATTGTATTCCGGTTTTTAAATGAATTAACATTCGTTCTAGTGTTATACTACTGATTCACTTTAATACTACGAAAATAAACAAGACCATTAGCAAGAACTGAATAGTTTGTATTACTATCGTTTTGCATCAATTACTAAGTTCTGTGAGAGACAGTCGAAATCCACTCATACAACCCAACTGTTAGGAATATCCTTGGTTTTAATATTAGATTAATTCTAATTGTATTTTCGATCGTATGTACACTTATTTTTAGATTGATTATGAAGAAGCGTGTAATTTTAGTCTCTTACTGCCTTATCTCTAATGTTTTCTGCAAATTGCTTTCTCAAGTTATTTATTAATCTTGGTGTATGTATCAGTGATTTTACTGTACATGGTGTTGTCGCTGATGATACATGTTGATATTTTTCCTGTGTAGTTTTCTTTCCTATATATAAAATAGCCCATGGTTTATTTATTTGATTCCTTTTAAACCAATACTGTATCATCGTAGTCATCTTGTTTGTTGTTCATTCGTGTATGAACCAATAATTTGTGCTCACAATCCTCGCACTCTACTTATTTCCTAAACTCACCGTCCCAATTATTTACCTATTTATTATAAGCGCTATCGTCAAACGCGATTCTTCTCCAAATTATTATTTTTTTATTTCTGTTTTTCACTTAGAACTTTAAAGCAAATCATCGAGCAAATGATGTGATTACTACAACTGGATCTACACCACTTATCACAGGTCGATTTGCTTTTGGTGGATTGGATTTGATGAGTTTTTCTTCTGAAAAAGTAATTATATATATATATATATATATATATATATATCCTTATTTACCATTTAAACTTACTATTATTATCCAGTATGTTTTACCAATACAAGCGTTAGTAGAGTCATCAATCAATCTCAATGTATCATTTCAACCCTTCCTTATAGGCGGGTAGATTTTATCGCTTCTAACTTGTTAGAAAAACTACTGGTAAATTTTTAATATTCACTTCTATACCAAACACACTTTTTGTAATTATATAAAGGTAGACTGAATGTAACAAATCATGATTCCTTCAATTTTAGAGCTCTCAATCCCCATGAATCGGTTGACATTGGCACTCGTTATTAAGGTTCTATTAACTAATTTTGTTCAGTAATCATAATTTTAATTCTTACGGATAGGTAGGTGAATAGACAACAATCAATATACCTAAATTATATCTAGTTAATCTTGTCAAATATACAACTTATCCCAGTTTATTTCAGTGTTTTAAAAATCGAGATCATTCTTAAATTGTGATCACAAGATTCTTAGCGGAATTTTAATACATTTTTACTGGATACATTTTCGGTTGGTTTGTAAAGTCTCCTTTTTGATTTTTATTACAAAAAGTATTGTTGTTGAAATTACACTGAATGCAGTGCTAGTTAATTTTAAATATTATTCCATTTTAATTTGCCGATTTACTAAGTCTAAATTTTTGGTATTCAATTACAAAACTGTAAGTTATCTCATAGCCAATAACTGAATAATCAGTTAATATGAAATAAAACTTTTAAGTAGGGATGATTCATTTTCACGAGTTTATTTACACTTCTATCCTCTACTTACATACTTTTATAAATAATTTGCAGATCCGAGTTGAAATTCAATCTATTAGTGGGTCGTGGTCATATGTATGCACAGAAGTGACTGATTCTTCTGGACGAATCCGATTCTCTTTGCCAGAACAAATTCATCTCCCGGATGGACTATATCCTATTAAAATGACCGCTGAATCTGATCCTGATCACCCAGTAATTATTACATTAGCTATAGTACCTCCTCAAACTGAGGTAGTGGTATTCAGTGTAGATGGAAGTTTTGCAGCAAGTCTGTCCCTGATGGGAAAAGTAAGTTTATTATGGAAAAATGGCATAGTTAAGTGTAGTGTCGCCGATAAGTGTATGATTACTTTTCACTGCTCATGTATATTTCCTGATGTTCTTTGTGAATTGTCATTCTTTTTTCAATAGTCCGATAACATATCTCTGTTACTACACTCTTCCCCATCAAGTTACACTCGATGGTCATACCAATATAACTTATTGCAGTTGGAGCTATCTCTTCTAATATATAGCGTAGGAGATGACACAAGGTTGATTAGCCTTTCATTGCAATTTACTCGAGATATCTTGATACTAATACTAATAGCTATTCAATGCCATAACTTTTGTTACAGTTGAGAATTTCGATTTCTAGTTGTGCAATACTACAACAAATATCTCTGGCATGAATTCAAATAGTAATTATTGAAAACATACTTCAAAAAGGGCTTTTAACAGTCAGTATTTCCCGGCAGTCGTAAATCGCTAAAGTTTTTAACAAGTTCAACTTCTACAACCATTTTTCCATTCATCATCTATAAGATGCTTGATTTCCAAAATATTTGTCTCTCGCTTTTTCAAGAGATAGTTATTATGCCAAATATGCCAAGAACTGTAGCGTTTCGATTGACGTTTTCTGGTATTTTAGATCCCGATAATTTATAACCCTTTTATAATAGGGCGTGAGCACGTGCAATCAGGATTTCTAATTGCTCACTTCAAGGAATTCTAAAACATTTAGTTTAATTGCAACATTTCCACAGTTGGAAAGTAGGGGGACCAAACACTTGAACTGGCCGCCTCATCAGATACCAAAACATAGAACACCACTATTTTTCATTTCATCTTTACTGTTGTTCTCATTCTTGGTGTACGTACTGATAACTATCGACCCATTCTTTGACGTTCTATACGATAATCACCACAGCCTACTTAAATATGACAATCATGAAAATCACTCTGTAATTTGAGGATATCTTTGTCAATCCAAAGCTTTAACATTTTCGAAGGTAAAGTTACCTACTACTTTCAGTGCAAAGATTTCAGAAAAGGCTTCTGAAGTATGGTTAAACGAAGTTGACTAACTAAAAATCGTAATTATTGCTTTATATACTTGACCCATAAAAGAAGACCTATTTTGAGTATAACTTTCATGACACGAATCTATATTTTCTATTGTGTGTAAATCATGCCGTTATGTTAAGGCAGTTGACTGGTCACTGAATAGTGAATTATGTCGTGCTGGTCTAGTATTTAGTGCCGCTCAAATTCTATTGATCAAGTGAGAACGTGACCATTCGTCTAAGTGACCAAACATCTCATGCGTTGTGCTGTGATGTTAATTAGTTATAGGAAGTCGACTGGACACTGAACATGTTTCGTGCTATTCAACTCTTATCTAGTCACATAGACTATTGGCCGGTTACAGGTTAGTCGGTAAAATAGGTTGTTAGAGTTGACCGAGTCAATAACCTGTATTCTTAAACATATTTGTAATCGAAAAGTTGTACAGATTCAGATTTTATCCCTACCTTTTTCTTTTCTTTTTGTAAAGAGACTTGTTGAAATATCTCGCGCTGAGAGTTTTATACTGTACCAGAATATAATATTGAATAAAGCCATTAATAATAATAATATTCTGTCAGCAAAGGTGACTACAAAAACGTGATATTAGTCACTAATCTGTGATCGGTCAGTTGTAAATGTATCCCAGTTCTACAGCAGGTCAGCGGTGCCCAACTGGCTCAATGGGAACGTCTCTGGCCGTGAATCCGAGTGACAGTATCGAATCCAATAGGGATCACCAGTTCCTTCAAGATTACGGATACATTTTGCTGACGAGTGGCAAATATCATGAAACATATCCTGACTTTTATATATTCCAGCCTCCTTAGAGGTCTGAATTTGGTTTTGGTTTTTCGGTGACTCCAAATCTTAGAACCAAGGCTACATATTATGTGCAAAAAGCAATGATTACGTGGTAGTTCTTCTGACATTCTATTGTCATTGTGTGTAGCTACTTATCCAAGAATCGTACAGTCGCCGTTAAGTCTTATTGTAGAATACATCATTCCAATCAGTATTGTTCTACCTCAATTATTCGTTCCGTATGCATCCACTATGGATTTCAATTTTATTTGTCCCTATTTCTTTTATAGTCCATTATCATCGTGATTATTCTCAGAGAATTATTACCCGATATCATAAATCACGTCCACACTTACAGTATTGTACGAAGCATAAAAATAGGTAACTTCACTGTAAATTCCTATCAACTTGTTTACATTTTTGCCAAATGAAATAAAAAATTTAATTCAACCGATAACAATACCGTGCAAATGTCATCGGAAGATCATTATCAAATTAAGCTGCTCATAAATGTCTGTGTGCAACTTTTGTTTGGTAATTCTAACCATTAAACTTATATTTGATTGATCCGCATATAATTTTTTTTCTTATCCTATTCATATTTATTTTTTTATAGGATCCGAAAGTTCATCCTGGTGCTGTAGATGTTGCTCGTCACTGGCAGGGATTAGGATATTTATTAATCTATTTGTCTGCACGACCAGATATGCAAAGACGTCGGGTTACAAATTGGATGGCAAATCATAATTTTCCTTTTGGGATGACTTTCTTCCTAAATGGATTATATTCAGATCCACTGAAACAGAAGGCTCAAATGTTAAAAACAGTTGTTGAAAGCGTATGCATTCTGTCATTCTGTTTCATTTTGTTGTTTGTATTTTTTCATACATTACGTAAAGATTGTATTAGTTCCTTGTCTCACTCTCTCGTAGAAATCATCACTTTCGTAACTCATTTAGAAATAGACTTTATCATTCTTACGGAAATTTGCTCTTTATATGTATTTGTTTTAGTTTCGTTACTTATTGCCTTATGTTATATGATTTGTACGATAGCCAATAGTAGTGCATCTTTTAAGTTTAAAACGACAATTGAAGATTCTGTTTTTAATTGATGAAAAATTCCCATTATATTAAAAACACAATTGTATGAACGAAGTATATTCTTGTCAATGAATTTCTCATCATGTTCTACAATTGTAAATCCAAATTAATAATCCATAAAATTGGCCAGATTTAAGGCAGAGTACATCATTTGGAAATTGTAATTTATGAATCAGGAATTGTTTGTTATATAAATAAAATCGTTGATGTTGGGGCTGACTAATGAAGTGTTAACTTGAATCAGTTTATAAGCGAAATGAAATTGTGAGATAAATTATCAGAATAAATATGGTCAACATGGGGTAAGAGAGAGAGAGAATATTGTGATTACAAATCGGAAATTGCGTAATATGTAAAATAATTAGGTCAAATATAGTAGATTCAGGGGTGGATATTGAATAAATTCCTCAAAAAGGGGTTATCAAGTGTAAAGACAATAATAGTAATAATAATAATAACAGTAATAATAATAATAAGTTTGGGACATAAAATGAACATTAATCAGATTATGTCACCCCATTAGAAGATTGATTATGGATTATTACTCCTGTCGACTGGTGAACGGTAAGAAGAATCTTGTTTGAGTGTTTGCTTAATAGTTACCGTCTTCGATTGTTCAAATTCAATGTAATTTCTGTGAATTCATCTGAGCCCTATAGTTATACTTCAGATGGTCAAAAGTAGGTACTCAGTTGTATATGGAGTTTTGCGAATTACTAAGACAATAGATATGTTGGTATTTTATCTTCAATGTGACAAAAAACAACCTTCAGACTAACTTGTTGTCTGGTCTACCTCTTCAAACACTACAGTATTTTTTTTAAAATGCAGTCACATCCTTAAGTGAAAAAAGAAGCTGCTGCATTCCACCTATCTTTACGTTCTCTAGTAATTAGTTACTTGTGATTTGAAATCATATTTTCATCAGTTTTTAGTTTGAATCTTTTGTGTTGTGATCGACTGATAGGTTTTATATCTCTTAGCATATTCAAACACACGTTACGTTTTGCATCTGTCATTAGGTTAACAGTGCATATATACTTGGCCCAGACCTTGTCTATTGGCCGGGTGTATTTAGCACTTAAAACAAGGCAGATCATGAAACTGTGTTATTCCGCCTAATACTCACATTTCGTTCCTTAACCAACAGATGCTAGTTCACATTATAAGCTTTCTCTATAACTTTCTACTTTAAAGTAGCAGTCTTGTAAAAAATCACATTAAATTTTAGTTAAGTACTAATTACCGAGTTATTCTTCATTTTCTTTCTTGTAGAGAATATTTTTCATTTAAAGTTAACTGTCAATGTAATACAAGTTAATTATCATTTATGATCATTTTTTTACTAACTAACCATTTTTCTTTTCATAATTTAAATGTTAGGCCAATTTGCGAGTTCATTGTGGTTACGGATCAGGTAAAGATATCAATTTATATCGTTCTCTTGGTTTATCAACCCAAAACATCTTTCTAGTTGGTAAAGTCTCTCGATCACAAGCATCAAATGGAACTGTAATTTAATTTATAATTTGTTTGTTTCATGTCATTTTATTTGTTTCTTACATTTTTGTTAACTGTTCAATTTATTCTCAAATGTCAGTATAGGGGTTGTGGAGATGGATGGGTCACTCGTCTTGTGTACACTCGATTGCTTTTTAACATAATAGTGTATATAACTTCTTTTGAACCAATTAACTATTTTATTTGCTTCCTTAAGATTTGAGGATAAACATATATACCTTAAAAGTAATGGATATCTCCCTGTCGTTTATAATGAGGTCGAAATAACGATAAAGATGAGCAAAGCATATCCATCTGTATTTAGTGATTCCATGTTCGAAACTCCATTGCAAGCACTATTTTGTGGTCTTGTTGTACCTCATCGTGGTACAGTTTTCTATGTAGGTAAGCTCATCAGCTACTGTGATCAATGTACTATATTGAGACCTTCAGCTTGCAAAAGGTTTTTGCATGCTGAATCAATTACAGGATTCACTTATATTGGCTTAAAAAGCCAAGAACTTTAAATATTACCTTCGATTACACCAAGTGTAACTTGACGAATTTTCGATATAGAGAGATTTGTTGTAAATGTTTGATATCAGTGAATAAGTAAAGCTCAGCTACGTAAACAAGGGGTCTTTGCACACAAAAGGTTTGGATTTACCCTTAAGAAGCCTGTGGTAATCCTATTGAAGTATTTAGGTAAGTCAACACACAGCACTGAGACTAGGTGATCAAAATTACTTTCAGTAAATACTAGAATAAAAAATCAAAGTCCGAATTCATCCAAGATTTAATCTTAAGGAATCTACCTTATGGACTGTTAGTAAGTTTTACAGCGGATTAATATTTGGTAATTTCGTTACATGGTTTGGAGATAACTGAAGTGATATATATAGGCTCATAATTTTGCATGATGTTCTTATCTTCAGTTTTGAAATGGCATTTTTTATATGTCTGTGGTAGATTCCTGGTTCCATAGACAGTATAAAGTTTTGGTTGAAGTGACAAAATTTGGATGCAATTTTCTTTACTCTATGACTTCTTAAAATCTTAGGGGAATTTACAATTAAACGAATCGTCTAAAGGTATTTATACTATTCAGTTTATCAGCATAGTGGTTGTGGAGATTATTAATTTTTTGATTGAGATCATGAACCGATTGATGTTAGACCATCATTGAAAACCTGGAAGCACTGGATGGCCGTTTCTTCCTAGTGTGGGACTTCTCAGTAGTGCGCATCCACGATCAATGTCGGGTAGAGATAGGTATCTACCTCATCACAATGGAAGGTGGTCGCGCAATTTCGTGGATCGGTTGAGGTTCGACATTAACACTATTGGATGCTGGCTCAGTGGTCCGGTAGGTTAAGCAGGCGTCATTACCAAGGTTTGATTTGATAATTTCGAATAAATTGAGCATTGGGTTGATTGTTATAAATAAAAAATAATATATTTGTAATATCCCAATGAGTAGAAAATTGGATTTTTTGACGTTTCGTGACTTAGTGTAAGTCACTTCTTCAGAGAATAAATAACCAAATTAAAATTAATCCAAGTTTAAATAGTACAACGGAACAATATTTTTCTTTATAACGGTAGGTTAAGCGTTCGCACACGAGACTCAAGGCCCTGGGTTTGAATCCCGCGAGTGGGATCGTGGATGCGCACTGCTGAGGAGTCCCACATTAGGAAGAAACGACCATTCAGTGCTTCCAGGTTTTCAATGGTGGTCTAACGTCAATCGGTTCATGATCTCAGTCAAAAACTATTTAGTTTGTTAACTTCATCATTAGTCCTGATCGTTCAAAAAAATTTCTGTAAGTTTAGTAATGTTCACAACTAACAATTTCAATATCTCAGTTTACGTGTATTGGGGTCTAACAACTGAACTCAATGTCTTTTGATGTCATAAAAATTGTCTGATTTATTGTACCACATGTGTATGTTTTTTTCTATTATTTAAGCCATTATTACAAGGATACTCGTCGCACTTATCTTCGTTAATCAATGGTCATACTTTATCTCGACCTGCTGTCGGATCAATGAGTATAGCAGTGCGTTGTTGTCCTTTTGATTTACCGTCAGTTTATCCTTCGTCACCGTTATTAATGGAGTCTAATTTGCTTCGAAACAATTCTCTCAAATTTTCACCTCAATTAAGCCAACGATTATTATTTAATGATGAAATAGAACAAAATACATTGTAATATTCCTAATACTTATCACTTATTATTTTATTCAAGTGATTCATCCATGTAAGCTTCAATGTTATAAAAAGATGAAATTTCAAACTATTTTTGAGGGTTAAATTATTTGTGTTTGTATATTGAGCAACTGGTTTCCCCCCTATTTTCATCCGTACTATATCATTTTCAACTTTATTGTTGAAAAAACCTTTCAGTTTAATAACTGGCAAAGGTTTCCCATTTGCTTGTCACTAAAAAGCATTAACTCTAAAACTTTATCTTGTAAATCTTCGTTTTTTCGATGTTTCATACATTGTATTTAATCGCTCGGTTTTACAAATAGCTTACACACTCGTCATTAACTCAGATTATAAATTACTCAAAGATCGTGATCATTTCTCATCGTCATCTTGTATTATTAATTAAGTGCAAATATATTACACAACTATGTTGCTCCTATCCAAATTTTTATTGATATACGATAGTGTATCCATGCTTACCACTTTATTAAGCGAATATAATCTTTCTGTTGTCCCATTAAAATGAATAAACATACTTTCCAATTAGTAAACTGTGATTTGGTTTTTTATCCATTACAAATTACACTTTTTATGTTATTGACTAATTATTCCTACATTCTGTACAATTTATAATTGATGGTTATTTTGTTCACTTATAAAATTGACTCAGTTTCTGTTTTATAATATATTTTTCAATGTTGTCAAAGTTGCGTTGAATTGGTTTCAAAGTTATATGATGTTAAATATGTTTTGGTTGTAAAATTCTCCTACAGATTCTAATTTTCTGTGGATCTAAAAAGTATATTTCCTGCGCATTTGTTTCAACCGTTAATAAACTTATACGATTCATTCATGAATTTCTGATTGCTTATATGTTTTTTTCATAATAGTTATAATCACTAAGCATATGGAATGTAGGCAAATGAATAATTGAAGCCATTCTTACTCATATCAACAGAATACTAAACACTCATGTATAATAATATATTCTAAAAATAATAATTACAGAATTCACGCCAGTTTACAGGCATGATCAATTTGATATAAATAGTAACATTACAGGTACAGGACAAACATGTGATAGAAGATAGTTTTAAGTATACTAGCTCAGTAATTGTTTAGGTAGTACATTTATGACATGTATTACAGCAGTCTAATGCATCAGCCGGGGACTTTTAATTTTTTTTTAAGTGGACAGCCTGTTGATTTATGAACGGAGCAATTAAGGTCATTTCTTGTGCCAGAACGAATTAATGATAATTATCTACAACTAGAGAAAGTAAAATGAAAACCGAGAGCACAGAACTACAAAGCAATAATTACCAAACTATGTCACAAATGCGTTTCATGTCGAGCACTGTGAAAATTAGAACGGAAAGTAATTATTATTGATGCCACAATGTTTACTGTGAAAGTTATTGCTATTGCAGGGAACTGCAGTCTTCTCAACGGTAAGCAGTTTAAATCGAGAAGTTCCTCCGCTTGCTCACATTAGTAATAACGATATCTTTATCAATGTAATTATATAGATTTTTTGAAGTTGCGAAGAATTATATTGGTTGAGACAAACTGTAAACAAGAAGTTTTCATATATGCCAACAATTCTTGGACAAATATTTTGTACTTCAAATGGATTAATTTCGTTTTTTATGTCCACAAGATTGAATAAATAATCTAACAATAAACATAGGTGTCATTACCAAGGTTTGATTTGATAATTTCGAATAAATTGAGCATTGGGTTGATTGTTATAAATAAAAATAATATATTTGTAATATCCCAATGAGTAGAAAATTGGATTTTCTGACGTTTCGTGGCTTAGTGTAAGTCACTTCTTCAGAGAATAAATAACCAAATTAAAATTAATCCAAGTTTAAATAGTACAACGGAACAATGCAAGAATAATATTTGATCAATCAAAAAACAGGTCTGAACAAGTTGATGTCATGTCATTTCTGTCAAGGTGATTCATAAGTGATAAGTATGTAAATTTGTGTGTGTATGTATATGTGCATTGTTTAAGAATGAAAACTTATGTGACCTTTATGGTAAGAAAGGATAGAGTTTAAATTTGTAATATGAAAGTGTGAAATTGTAAATACGATCAGACTGAATGGTTAGGATAGATGGTCCAAGTAGGGTGTATGGTAAGGCCTTCTTTTCTATTGAGAGAAGTAGGATTAAGCATTATGTGGAACGCCTCAGCTACCCTCCTTTCTTTGTAGTTGGAAAAGCCTTTTTGCAATATTTTGATATTTTTAATATCGATTTGGTGGTTGTTGAAAATGGCATGAACTGCTATTGCCGATTTAATTTGAAGTTGGTTCAATTCTACCGGATTGTTAGGAGGTTTCTTTGTGTACCTAATATGTTCTTTGGCTCTAGTCACGATTTCGCGGGATGACTCTCCAATATAATAGGCATCACAATCGATACAACCTAATTTGTAGACGCAGTTCTGTGTGGACATGAAAGGGATTTTTTCTTTCAGGCGAACTAAAGTATTACGTAGTGTGTTCGTTGTTTTGTAATACACTTTAATTCTGTGGTGTTTTAAGATTCTTTGAATTTCTTCTGTTGTGCCATGGCGGTATGGTAGAACTACAGTACCAATCCATGGCATTTCATTCGAAACATTATTATAATGTAATAAATTGTTTTGTTTTAATATGCTTCTAATAATCTTCATAGGAAAATTATTAAATTGTAAGGTACTAATTATATTCATTTGTTCTTTTCGTTTGTCTTCCTCTGATGTGATGATCTTGTTAGCTCTTCTAAAAAGATTTAAGGCTAGCGAGATCTTAGCACTGAAAGGATGTGCTGAATGGAAGTCAATATAACGATTTGAATGCGTCGGCTTTCGGTAAATGGATAAGTTTAGACTTCCATTTGGATTTCTTTTTACTAAGCAATCCAAGAATGGTAGTTCACCATGTACATTTTCATTCGTGAATTTGATGTGCGATGAAAGTGTATTAATTCGGTTTGAAAAAGATCTTAGATGAGTCTTTTTTATAACCACAAATGTATCGTCTACATATCTAAGCCAAATTCGTGGTATAGTGTTGTGGGCGAAGATATTTGATTCTATGTATGCCATAAAAAGGTTGGCTACAATCGGGGACACGGGGGATCCCATTGCTACTCCGTTAGTTTGTTTGAATAAAATACCGTTAAAAGTAAATAGCGTTGAATTTAAGCAAAGTTTTAATGATTTCATGATTAGACTGATGCTCAACGGACATCTGTCAGGAAGAGTATTGTCGTTCTCAAGTAAACCCTTAATGAATTCTAAGCATTTATCAATGGGAACACTTGTGTATAAAGAAACGACATCAAAGCTTACCATGATTTCATTCTTCTTGATGATTAATCCGGATAATTTTGATTTAAAGTCATATGTGTCTTTAATTATATTATGTAGGTTGAGTTGTAATGGTTTTAATATATTGCTTAAATATTTCGATAGTGCATATGTTGGGGTGTTTGTGAAGTCTACTATTGGTCTTAAAGGAATATCTGGTTTATGAATTTTTGGTAAGCCATAAAACCGTGAGACATTACATGATTTGGGATGCAAAGCAAACCAAAGCGGAACCCCAATGATTGGTTTTAGCTCGTTCAGAAGTTGATTTGTTTCTAATTTGACTTTATTCTTAATCGTTAGAGAAGTTTTTGGATTGATCTTTTCATAAGGTCCTGTTGAGAGATGTTCAAGAGCTTTATTAATATAATCTGTTTTATTCATGATTACTGTTGTGTTGCCTTTGTCGGCTTTAGTGATGATAATTGTTTTGTCTTTTTTAAGTGAATTCAGAGCCTTCAATTCTTCTTTTGAAATGTTTGGGGTAATGTGTTTTTGTTTCGTCAGAATATGGGATGTCTTTTGACGTAGTAAATGCGACTCTTTTTCCGGTAGTTGTGCGATCATAGGTTCTATAATCGGAGCGATTTCAAGAGTGCTAAGTGGTTTTCTGTGTAAATTGAAGTTTAATCCCTTCTCCAGTAGAGTGATTTCGTGACTGTTTAAGTTTCTGTTGGAGAGATTATGAACTGTTCTTAGATTATTCAAATTGTATTTTATTGTTGATGAATAAAACAGATTATATTAATAAAGCTCTTGAACATCTCTCAACAGGACCTTATGAAAAGATCAATCCAAAAACTTCTCTAACGATTAAGAATAAAGTCAAATTAGAAACAAATCAACTTCTGAACGAGCTAAAACCAATCATTGGGGTTCCGCTTTGGTTTGCTTTGCATCCCAAATCATGTAATGTCTCACGGTTTTATGGCTTACCAAAAATTCATAAACCAGATATTCCTTTAAGACCAATAGTAGACTTCACAAACACCCCAACATATGCACTATCGAAATATTTAAGCAATATATTAAAACCATTACAACTCAACCTACATAATATAATTAAAGACACATATGACTTTAAATCAAAATTATCCGGATTAATCATCAAGAAGAATGAAATCATGGTAAGCTTTGATGTCGTTTCTTTATACACAAGTGTTCCCATTGATAAATGCTTAGAATTCATTAAGGGTTTACTTGAGAACGACAATACTCTTCCTGACAGATGTCCGTTGAGCATCAGTCTAATCATGAAATCATTAAAACTTTGCTTAAATTCAACGCTATTTACTTTTAACGGTATTTTATTCAAACAAACTAACGGAGTAGCAATGGGATCCCCCGTGTCCCCGATTGTAGCCAACCTTTTTATGGCATACATAGAATCAAATATCTTCGCCCACAACACTATACCACGAATTTGGCTTAGATATGTAGACGATACATTTGTGGTTATAAAAAAGACTCATCTAAGATCTTTTTCAAACCGAATTAATACACTCTCATCGCACATCAAATTCACCAATGAAAATGAAAATGTACATGGTGAGCTACCATTCTTGGATTGCTTAGTAAAAAGAAATCCAAATGGAAGTCTAAACTTATCCATTTACCGAAAGCCGACGCATTCAAATCGTTATATTGACTTCCATTCAGCACATCCTTTCAGTGCTAAGATCTCGCTAGCCTTAAATCTTTTTAGAAGAGCTAACAAGATCATCACATCAGAGGAAGACAAACGAAAAGAACAAATGAATATAATTAGTACCTTACAATTTAATAATTTTCCTATGAAGATTATTAGAAGCATATTAAAACAAAACAATTTATTACATTATAATAATGTTTCGAATGAAATGCCATGGATTGGTACTGTAGTTCTACCATACCGTCATGGCACAACAGAAGAAATTCAAAGAATCTTAAAACACCACAGAATTAAAGTGTATTACAAAACAACGAACACACTACGTAATACTTTAGTTCGCCTGAAAGAAAAAATCCCTTTCATGTCCACACAGAACTGCGTCTACAAATTAGGTTATACCGATTGTAATGCCTACTATATTGGAGAGTCATCCCGCGAAATCGTGACTAGAGCCAAAGAACATATTAGGTACACAAAGAAACCTCCTAACAATCCGGTAGAATTGAACCAACTTCAAATTAAATCGGCAATAGCAGTTCATGCCATTTTCAACAACCACCAAATCGATATTAAAAATATCAAAATATTGCAAAAAGGCTTTTCCAACTACAAAGAAAGGAGGGTAGCTGAGGCGTTCCACATAATGCTTAATCCTACTTCTCTCAATAGAAAAGAAGGCCTTACCATACACCCTACTTGGACCATCTATCCTAACCATTCAGTCTGATCGTATTTACAATTTCACACTTTCATATTACAAATTTAAACTCTATCCTTTCTTACCATAAAGGTCACATAAGTTTTCATTCTTAAACAATGCACATATACATACACACACA